CATCGATTGGTTACCTCCTGCATGCGCCCCGACCAGGGCCAGAGATTGAGTCTGCAATCCAGGTACGTGCCCTTGACTGGAATTGAACCCGGGACCCTTCAGTCTGCCGGCTGACGTTCTATCTACTGAGCCAAACCAGCTAGGGCTTGTTCTGTCTTCTAAATGTGGGTTTTCAATACGTTGGAATCCCCGGGCAGTTTTTATGTCAGTACCACTTTAAAATAGTGGAGGTCATTGTCCACTGCCGTGTGGAAAGCAATTTCAGAAATAATTTTTCCTGTTCCTCTGGTGTCTAAAACTATCTTAGTTTAAACCCAAATTCTTACCCTTCCTTGATGTAGTTTTCCTTTGGACCTGATATGGAAATAGGCTTCTTAGACGCTGTTCTGTTCATTTCCACTACTTTCCATTGGAGGCCATAATTTATCGCTTAGTCCCTGTCACTCTGAACGTTGTTACTGTAGTTCTGGATTCCTCCACACGTGCTGGGTGGGTCAGTACTAAGAGCAGCTGCTATTGCTGTGGTTCTTAAAAGAAATGAGCTGAACAGCCCGGCAGCTGCTGCCCGGGTGCCAGGAGCTGCTGTGGGTATCTTCCCGTGGTGCCCTGCCCAGAGATGCCTGCTGCTCTCTGAATCCACCATCAAAGGGCATTGGGGGCAAAGGGAAGGAAGCTGGGGTTTGAGCAGAAACTGGGTGTTGGTGTGGCCCGAGGGTCCCCTAGATCAGTGATGGCGAACCTATGACACGCGTGTCAGAGGTGACACACGAAGTCATTTCTTCGGTTGATTTTTCTTTGTTAAATGGCATTTAAATATATAAAATAAATATCAAAAATATGTCTTTGTTTTACTATGGTTGCAAATATCAAAAAATTTCTATATGTGACACGGCACCGGAGTTAAGTTAGGGTTTTTCAAAATGCTGACACGCCGAGCTCAAAAGGTTTGCCATCACTGCACTAGATGCAGACTGTCCCTCCGGGAGCTGCGCCCTCCCTGCTGGCTCAGGAGCTGGCTTTGTTCCAAATGGCGTAGACCAGGGTCCTGAAGGACTTGGGTTAGGAAGTAGATGGGTTGCACCAGGGACGGTGTCATTGACTGGACACAGCTCTGTTTTTGATTTGTTCTTGCCAGACGCAGCCTCAGCTAATGGCTGTGTCTTCCTGTGATGAAGGCTGGTTCTGAGCAGAATGAAGAGTTTGCCTATTTCCTGAACCAGAGAGAGCAGCTTTAGCTTTACTGCAAGGATTAAGACACCTGCCAATTGTTGAGATTGGTTGGGGTGACTGTGTTCTCTCATTAAGGTGGTACCTTACGTTTTCCATGACTCTGATTTTATCTGACTTAACCCCTCCCCCCAATCATTGTTTTGCTGATTTTCCTGTATGTGTGGTCCCAGGGACACCCCCTCGCCCCATGAGTGTCTGCTCTTCTTCCTTTGGCTGCCAGGGCCTGGGCCTAAGGCCACAGAGCACCCTGCCTTCTTCCATCCCAGGTGGTGCCTTAGCCGCAAGGGTAAGGGACTCAGTGGAAGATGGAGGTGTACCAAGTAGGGAGAAACCTTAGGACGCAGCCAAGAGAAAAGGGGCTGGGAGGAAATGCTGCTCTGTAAATGGAATAATCTCTGCAGCTCTTTACACAACGTGATGCAAGGAAACACCTGTCTCCCGCAGGGCACAGCAGGCAGCGGAAGTGTGGGGCTCCGTGGCTCCATCTCATCACTGCTATTCCTCTGGCTCCTTCCCTCTCGGCCTTCCCTCTGGCTCTCAGCTCCTCACCTGGCCCCTCCAGCTCCACTGTTAGCTCTGGGTGATACCTTCCTCCCAGGCAGGCTTTGGCGCCCTCCTCTGGCTGCGCACAGCACTCTGGCCCGCCCTCGCCTTTCCTCTACCTTCCTGTGGTTTAATGACCAGCTTATGGCTCTGGCTCCACAAGGGACAGTTTGGCAGGAAGAGGAGGGGATGAGTCCTTATTCAGCCTAGGAGGCTCTTGACTGTGGAATGAATAAGCGAAGGAATGAGCAAGTACAGTACACAGGAAACAACAAGCCCCGTACCTGCCCCAGGTAGGTTGCCAGCCTCCTTGGGCGTGGCCGAGGAGGAGAGGAGGTGGTCAGAGGAGATACAGTAATAATCTTGGAACTCTGGGCTGCTCCTTCGAGCCTTCCGGTGGGAGTTGGTTACCTTTACAGGAAATCTCTTCCCCGATCTTCACCCCGCCCACTCGTGCTGTGGCGCTGCCTTCCCTGCTGCCTTCCCGCATTGAGTCTTGCATACAGTGCAGGTCTTATTTCAGTGTTTCATCTGGGTAGGGTTTGCCCTTTCAGCGGGTGGTAAATGCCTTAACGTCCTGCGTTCTAGTTCCTAGGAAGCCTTTTAAAAGGACGGAGAAAGCATTGCTCCAAAGTAATTTTTGTCTTGGCTACCAACTAGTTGTGAGATCTTAAGGCAGAGCAATCACCCTCCTTCCACAGGTCTCCGTTCTCCACCCGTCTAGCTAGAGGCGGGATGTGCTCTGTGCTTCCAGTGCTCACACCTCGTGACTCTGTGATTCTGACCCCACACCTGGCACATCCCTGCCAGGACCTGGAACACGGTTCCGTCCCCACACCTGCCAGGTAATTGAACCTGTTTGCTCACAGTCCAGGCCAGGTCACCTCTCAGCTATTTGTCAGAGCTCCTGGGATCATGGACATGAATGGAATAGGTGTGGGGCGGCTCCATGGAGACCCCTGTGGCCCTTGGCCTTGCCTTTGCCAAGAAGTTCCAGGCACCAAGGACTCCGCCTCGGTCCTGCTCAGACTCAGTTCCAGTTCTGAACCTTGGTGTGATTAGTTTCGTCCCTTCAAGAGCAGGGAGGATTGGAGGTGGCGGCTGACTGGGCCACCATGCAGGGGTCTGGGAGCAACGATGGTGTTAGGGATGCGTGTTCTCATGTGAGTCACGCCTCACTCGGTCTATAAGACCCTGCTTCACTGGCTCTTCCTGGCCACAGCCTGGTTCCCCTCTGTTTTCTGAGTGCATTTTCTACCTGTTGCACCCACTGCATTGCATTGGTTAAAAAAAATTCATTCAGTCCTTCAGTGGGATCACAGCAGAGGCAGGGTAGGGACTGTTTGCTTTGTGGGTTGAGTTTTTTGCTTCTGTGTCTGAGGTTTGTGGATTTCTTGAGGCCAGGAGTGGCTTGTTTTCTGTTTGGGGGAATTGGTAGTTTGTTCATATTCGTTTTCTCGGCTCTTTTCCTCAGTTCCAGCCTCATTTCTCTCGGTCCAGTCAGGAGTGTGTTCTTTCTTTAAGCATTTGTCCCCACCAGTCAGCGAGATCCCAAAGATTGTAAAGCTGCTGGTGAGTAAAGAGCGTTAGCAAAAGGAACCCAGCAGAAAGGTTGTGGGTCTCCAAGGATCCCTCCTGGCTGTGAAACTGTGAGATTTTGAGGATTGTGTGTTTGGGTTAGGGGCCCCTCTTAGAGGAGATAGCACGAACACTGGGGTGGGAAGAAAGAAGCAATATTATGATGACTAGTACATACACGGAACCACCCAGACCCTCCCTGAATCCTTTATGCAAGACCGATCGGGTGATAGTGGAGGAGTTTGTCGGAGATGGTAAGATTGCCAAGATTAGTAAGAATTGATGGGGAAAGAGGCCAACACTGCAAAAGAGAGGAATTCATTGAGTTTTATCTTGGGCAAAGGTTAGGTGCTAAATCAGTATTAAAAAAAGTAAACATGCATATTAAAATTTTTACAAGTTTATTTGAGCAAAAATGGATTCAAATCGCCAAAATGGAAGAGGTTAGGAGTGCTCCAGCCATAGGAAGTGAGGGAAAGATTGATACAGATAAAGCAAGGAAGCAAAGAAAGGAGAGGACTTGATCAGGTATAGGTTAAAGCCTCCTTGGCTGTTTGTGATTGGTTGTCCTTGGGGTTTGACTTGGTAACCTTGAAACATTTACAAGCTTAGATTTCTTTTTTTTCCTCACGTAGGCCACCATGACATTAGAGCCATGCCAGTCTATTAGCTTTCTGGTTTAACTCACTTAACAATACAGAAGCTGAAATCAAGGGTATAGTAAAAATTACCTTTGAAAAATACCTCAGGAAGACACAGTACATATTAGAAATTGACATTTTATATCACTTGTTATGTTTAATGTGATAATTTCCCCCCTTCCATTGTGAGACTGTTGGTTTTGTCTCTTGAGTTCCATAGGATCACCTTGCAGTGGTTCTCAACCTTCTGGCCCTTTAAATACAGTTCCTCATGTTGTGACCCAACCATAAAATTATTTTCGTTGCTACTTCATAACTGTAATGTTGCTACTGTTATGAATTGTAATGTAAATACCTGATATGCAGGATGGTCTTAGGCGACCCCTGTGAAAGGGTCGTTCGAACACCAAAGGGGTCGCGACCCACAGGTTGAGAACCGCTGCTCTAAATGAGTGAGAAACATCAATCAGCCGCCTCCTGCACACCCCCCACTGGGGATGTGCCCGCAGCCAAGGTACATGCCCTTGACCGGAATTGAACCTGGGACCCTTCAGTCCGCAGGCCGACGCTCTCTCTAGCCACTGCCAAACCGGTTAGGGCTGCAGGATGGTCTTAGGTGACCCCTGTGAAAGGGTCGTTGGACCGCCAAAGGGGTCGCGACCCACAGGTTGAGAACTGCTGGCTTAGGTGAAGGGGTCATGTTCTATGAAAACTGTCTTTTAAAACAACAGAATCGTACTCGTGAGAGAGCTGCTGCTACTAGGAGCGATGGGAGAGATGGACGTATTTTTTGTTTGGTTTCAGCAGCCCCTCTCCTTGTGCTTGACTTGCGTAGTGTGTGTGTTGCATGTGTGTGTGTTGCAGTCACAGGACTCTACCTTTGCTCCCCTCCCTGCCTAGACTGCAGAGACTTAGCGGACTCCTTGACAAAGCGTAAGCCCAATATCTTGGTACTGACTCGTTGAGATGTATTAAACTCACAGCTCCAATTCTCTGTTTTGTCCACAGGTTGCTGGTGGGGGCCCCTCGGGCAGTGGCCCTTCCGCTGCAGAGGGCCAACCGGACAGGAGGCTTGTACAGCTGCGACATCACCTCTCGGGACCCGTGCACACGGATTGAATTTGACAACGATGGTGTGTTCTGCGCGCTCTCAGTGTTCCCTGGGCCAGCTCCTCGGTATCCCACTTGCCCTTTCCATGAGGAAGGGAAGGGGGACCAGCAAGCATTCTTGGAGAGAGGGTGGCCACTTTTTATTGCATCAGCCTTAACTGTTTCTTGTTTGCCCTGAAAACATTTACTACTTTCTAAATCCCATTGAGATGGACAATATTGCTGCTCCTCCTAGCCCTGATACGGTGTATTGATGCTGCCACCTAGCGACGTGTTGAAGTTCTACAGGAGGCTGTTGAAAAGCTGAATTCAGAGCAGGGAAGAGAATTGAATGTGCATGTCTTGTACATAGCAGCCCAAAGTTCTCTCTTGCCGTTAAGTATTTGGGAGAAAGCCGATTTTAAATTTCAGATCTCTCTGAAATGAGCCGACCAACATGGGTAAATTTTGCCCTACTGTCTCAGGTACAGGCTGGTTTTGTGAGGACTGTATGTTGGGCAGAGCAATTATTAGCGACTGAGAAGCTCCAACCAAACCTCATTTGACATACGTGGTCTGAGTAGATTTGTAGATTCATGTTTTATTTTTATGTTCTTCTCGTGCTTTTTCATCTTTTAGAACTGACTTTTTTTCTGATTAGAAAATAATACATGTTAATTATGGGAAACTTGTAAGCGGCAGCGACCTATAAAGAAAACCCACTGGTAATGTAGACAGAATCGCTTTTTATTTAACATTTGGCATTTCCCTTCTGTCTACTTGACGTTGTTTAGTTTCCATAGTTTTGTAATGATTCGAGATTGAAGATTGTTGCCTGCCATGCTTCTCATTGAGGAAGGGCAAAAATTTGGATAGAAGGTCATACAGTAAATTCAGATTGATATTGAAATGAGCACATGGTGATATTCGTGGTTTCTTTCTTTTGGGGGGCAGAAGGAGTGAAAAGAAATACACCCCTTTCTTTCTTGGCATCGATAGAAAAATACAAAATGAACCTGAGGAGAACAGCTCGTGCTGCATGGAGCAGATTTGGGAGTGTGTAGAGAAGCGTACACTTCCTGTTAGTTTGGATGGTAGTTGGATTTTGGAAGCTGGAAGTCTTAACGTTTCAAATACCTCTCTGTACTTGGGACACTGGGTGTCAGAGGGTGAAGGGCCACCTGGTAAGCCTATGTATGTTTTGTAAAGAATTTTATGCAAGTGTCTTACCAACAATCACCCATCTGTTTTCTTAAGATGAGAAGTAATTTTTCGGGACCGAGTAGCTGAATTTACTAAGTAGTTACACTCGGAGTCAACGCTGTTTAGAAAAGTGTCTTGTGTTTTTGTTCATCTGTTGGTTCATTGCCTGTTTCAGTCACTGTGAAGTCCTAACTGTGTGACCTGTGCTGCTTCCCACAGCCGACCCTACCTCGGAAAGCAAGGAAGACCAGTGGATGGGGGTCACGGTGCAGAGCCAGGGTCCCGGCGGCAAAGTGGTGGTGAGTAGAGGAGCGTGTTCATCCCACAGTGTCCCAGTGCCCCGCTCACCGCAGTGAGCACAGCAGTGCTTTTCTTTAGAGCATTCAAATTCAAAGAACTTATTAACAAAATTCCATTGACTATCTCAATCTCTAGATGGTCTTAGGATAAAAAAAGCAAAACAAAGCTGGACATGGCCCCAGGAACCATGTACTTTTACAGATGAGGAATAAAAAATATGGGAATGGTCATGGGAAGTAAGGTCAGATTGTTTAAACTCCCATGATTTATTCTGAGCTTCTTCGAGTAGAAGTGGTAGGGAAAATGAGAGGGTCTGTTAGATGGATTGTGCTGAGTGACCTGGGAAGTGACCCCCAGGCTGGAGTATGATGATGATCTTTTTGTGTCTCCTTCAAAATATGATCGCTATAACAAATGTATCTAGAATTTGGAGAAAAAATGAGAATTTTACTGGACATTGAATATTGATATTGAAGGGCTGATTTATGGGACATAGACTTGGATGTTGTCAAGTATTTTCAGCCTGTATTGCGTGGGTGCAGCTTTGAATACCCTGTAAAACTATAGAGATGATTTCATCTCTCCCAGCAGTGTAATTCTCCCTGCCTTATAGGATAAACTACCTCAGAGCTTAGGTTATAAATTAGGATTTAGGATTATAAGGGAGTAGTATGGGTAACAGGAAAATGTCTGGTTTGGCTATGTTTGCCTGATTCCTATGAAAACGTGCCCATGGTTTCTCTCCTCTGCAACAGGCTATTTTCAGAAACATACTGATGTGAAGGTTTATACAGCCACTAAGCCAATTAAATTAAGAAAATGAAATAAAGTGTTTCCATTGTTCATGCTCTGGCATGAGCTAAATTTATAAATAAATTACCTGCGCATTACAGATTGGCATTCAGTGTTCAGATCGGACATTATTCTTTGGGTGAAAATAAGACAGAAATCCTATGGTTTCTATGGATAAAGGTCTTCTTAGTGACACTTTGGGGGAAGACTTACTGGTTTCGGATCCAATCCCAGGATGAGGGCACATTTAACATCCTTTTTATTGTTGACAATTGTATCCATTTGTAATGAAAACCATAAGGTTTGTAGACATGCGTGGGCTACTTTATTCCATCTGTTTGCAGACATGTGCTCATCGATATGAAAAAAGACAACACGTTAACACGAAGCAGGAATCCCGAGACATCTTTGGAAGGTGTTATGTCCTGAGTCAGAACCTCAGGATTGAAGATGAGATGGATGGAGGAGACTGGAGTTTCTGTGATGGCCGACTGAGAGGCCATGAAAAGTTTGGTTCTTGCCAGCAAGGCGTAGCAGCTACTTTTACTAAAGACTTTCACTACATTGTATTCGGAGCCCCGGGAACCTATAACTGGAAAGGTATGACGTGTGTGTTTATAGAAATAGAGGTTAGAGTGACTATATTTCTATGATATGCACCAAGGTTTGGTAAACTTTAAATTAAAACAAAATGTGTTATAATGTGCTTTTAAGTAGGGGAGGATATTAAAATCTCTAAATCATATGACTTAAAAACGAATAATGGTGCAAGTGTATGTTTTAAGAGATTTTTTTTCCTCCACCAGCAATTTACATGAATACAAGTAGTTAACTTTTTCTGTGAGTATATGATAATTAACATTAGTAGTTTAACATTAGTAGTATTGCTGTTTTATATTTGTTAAGGTAGTGATCTGAAAACGGATAAGAATTGAGTCTGTCAAGTGCAAATAACAGTGTGTTAATATAGACATTCCTTTCATTTTATGCTATCTTAAAAGGCTGTCTTTGGCTAATAGACTTAGAAGGGTAGATGGCAGATTAGGGAATTTTGAGATGATGATTTCAGATAATTTGCAGAAAAGTTGTTTAATGGTATTGTTTAATTATCAATGTGATGTAGTGAAAGGAGGCATGGGGAGGGGGAAGAATGGCCCACATTTTAAGGAAGTCATTAAGATAAATTTTATGTTATAACATTTTCACTAGTCAGGAAAACTTTTCCTTTCCATTAAAAAACTTCCAAGTTTTTAAGTTCCTGTTAGATACAATCCTTGAGAACACTTACCCTGTATGTGATCCGTAGTGACCTTGGGCAGCAGTATCCTTTGTCCCCCTCCTCTCCCCAATCAAATCATAACGGTATTTGTCAGGTTATTTCGATCTAATCAAAACAACACGTTTAATTTAGAAGTAGTTTTATTTTAGGGAGAACAGATACAATAAAAACACCCAGCAATTATGTATGCTTTCATTTACGGGAAACATGTCTTGTTGTTTTATTAACCCTGACTTAGAAGGTTACTCTTTTTAAAAAGTCACATAGTGGGCTTATTATAGAAAATCTTTTTAATGAATAATTTTAAAAAATGAAATATTGGTTAAAGTGGAGAACAGATCAAAATATTAATTTCATCTTACACTACAGTAAAGAAGGTAACAATTTTGGATTATAGAAAATGTAAAGTATCATCAGGTTCATATCATTTTTAAAATATTGTTTTCTGTAGATTTAGTTAACTTTCCATTTTCACCTACTTTCATGGCATTTTAAAGATAATTCATGAAAATGCATGGGCCATTTTTTTTTATTACAGGAACAACTTTCTTTGACATAAAAATTTACATGTACATAATTTTTAACTTCAGTAACCTCAGAAGTCATTTATTTTTTTCTGCCTTTTCTTCCTCCTAACTTTTCTTGCTGTACTTAGTATGATAACATGAGGAATGTTTTATTAGGTTCCACCTGTTTTATTTTGTTTCATCTTCACTTTTTGTTGTTGTTTTTTACCATTTCATTCCTGTAGGGATTGTTCGCGTAGAACAAAAGAATAACACTTTTTTTGACATGAACATCTTTGAAGATGGGCCTTATGAAGTTGGTGGAGAGACTGACCATGACGAGAGTCTAGTTCCTGTTCCTGCTAACAGTTACTTAGGTAGGAATGAGAGGAGACGGCACGTCTACCTTTGTAGAGACCTCTGGGAGACACTGCCCTCCCGAGACCTTGGCCTTCTGGGCCGAGAACAGGTCAGGTGGAGCCAGGGGCCTGCGGCTGCACTGGCTGGGATTTGATTTAGGCCTTGGTGATTCTGCGGCTTGCGATTCTTCCCTTCTGGCCTAGGCTCCCTCGAGTGGGGACTAAACCTACTTCCTCCTAAAATCGTCTGTCCTCTGCATGGAAGTCTGTTTCCTGAGCCAGTGTTGGCCTCTGTAACCTGAAAAAGGCTGTTCGTGCAGCTGAGAATAAACGCGTGGATGTCAATGAGCTGAGCTGCCTCCCCTCTCCCTTCGGTGCCTCTTTCCAGAAGCTACTCCTAAGAGCCACATTTATGAAGTTACTCTTAAGTGGCAGGTCAAGACCCTCAGGTCCTTCCACTGTGATTGCTTTCTCCAGGGGTTGGCCCTGCTTCTGGATTGGGGCCTCGTGTCACCGGGCCCTGGCGGGTTGGCACAGGGCCTCCCAGCCGAGGCTGAGCAGGACTTGCTGAAGTAGCATGGGGACACCCAGATTATGGCTAAGTGCCCGTTCCTTAACTCCTAAGGCATGTTTGCATTACTAATGGGTCCTAAATTATTCATGTGCATTATGGTAATTACTCAAAGGCTTTTAAAAGCTTTAATTCTTAGTATGAGGTGACATAAAGAATAATTATTGTGCATTTCTTGGAAAAAATGTAAAAAATCTCCTAAACCCAAATAGTAACCTATTTTTTTTTTTAAGAAAAGAACCAATATGCTAAAGATATTACTGGAACAATGGAAAGAAAAAAATAAGAATAAATATAAGAATAATACTAAATAATGTATTAAACATATTCATAAAAATTGTTCTAAATGTCAACTTAATTGAAAAATAACATTAAAAAATAAGTTATTCTAGTTATATAGGTATGTATAAACAGAACTGTTAATTAAAAATTTTCAGACACTCCCTCCCCCCCCCTAAAATTAAAAATTAAAAACTTAGTGTGAAGGCACAAAAGAGGGAAGAGAAAAGTTATACTTAACTACTTGTCAAGCACCTACGTAATGCTTTATAGATCTCATTTGATCTTCTCAACAATATTGTAAAATAAGTATCATTGCTCCTCTTGCTGGGTGTGCGAGTGGCTTTGCAGGACATGAAGGGGACACAGGGCCAAGCAGTTTTCAGCCTCAGTTACTAAATATGGTTTTTCAAGGTAAATATTATCACCAAACCAATACTTTATCCAATTATATTTTAACAGACAACCTCTCTTCAAATGCATTATTCAAGGATAAGTTTTTGGTGAGAAACATTTCATTTTAATGGCTCTAGGCAAGAAACCAGCACTTTGGTCTTTAGGATAGAGGCCCATGGGTTTTACGAGCTTCGTTGCCATTGGGACATTTGGGTCTGACACATTTGCTGCTTTCAGAATGGGTTTCCTCAAAAGTGGCTGCCTGGGAAAAAAGTCAAGTTCTTATGGTTACATTTTAGTTGTCCACGCTGTCTGTGCATCTGTCATTTCAAAAAGTCAGTGGGTTTTAGGAATGAAATGATCTGCTTGCGGCTTTGGAAGCTGGCAGAGAGAGTGGCTTGCCAGATGCCGCGGTGGCCTCATCATCCAGCAAGAACGGTGGTCGCCGTGGTGCCTCCTACCCGGCGTAATTGCTTTTTCTTCCATCTCTTCCACTTCTCGCACGTGCGCAGGCCTGCTGTTTTTGACCAGCGTTTCCTACACAGATCCCGATCAGTTTGTTTATAAAACACAGCCTCCCAGGGAGCAGCCCGACACGTCCCCTGACGTGATGATGAATAGCTACCTAGGTTTGTGATCTCCCAGACGACAAATCCATTGTCTTGGTCATGGTCATTTAAAACATTTTTTTTTTGGATCCGTACAGAGCATAAATCTTTTTATTTTCTATTTCATTTCAAGTGAAGCCCGCACGAGAAGCATGCTGCGGGGGAGGCTCTGCCTCCAGATGGTTTTCAGAGCTGCGTTCGATTAGATCGCCCTGCTCTAAACTGGTGGCTCATCCTATTTCTCGACTCACTGCACACAGTTTGAGAACTGCAACAGTAGTGGTGAAACTTTGCATAAATAAAACCCAATAAAAAAGGGTGGCCTTACACTACTCTGCCGCTGCCTCGCCTCTGTAGAAATACTTGCTTAATTTGAATGGTCTTGATAGGGGCTTTTATATTTGCCTCCCAATTAAATCTTGTATTTGTAGTCGGACGTCCTACCTGACGCTTTACGATGAGATGTTCTAATGCTGTCCGCCCCCTCCTGACAAAATGATATCGATGATAAGTTGCTCACCTCTATTGTTTACGTGTGTTCTCAAATGCTGTGGCTCATCAATCATGGTTTTGTTTGCATGCTTGTGTCTGAGAACTAAGTGAGTTCAAAATAATGAAATGCTGCTTGTGGTGTATCGATGAAGTTGGCATTTGTGCTTGCCTGATTACCAAGGGGATTGATGAGTATGGACATTACGAATCATTTGTTATAGCAGAACCCCACAACATGCACTCAATTATTCTATCAGGTTGTATCTCTGTGTATCTGATGTCAGTTTGCTGTGGTAATTTAGTATCTGGTTTGATCTCCTTTTACCCCAGTTCTAATACTAAAATAAGGTTCAAACTGATTCTTACAATGAATGAATCTTTCATGATTCAAGTTGGACAGATGCTAAATAGCATAGGTTTTTTTTTCTTTAAGTCTTAATATATTCCATAGAAAGCAGTGAAATAGCCTACTGCTTTGTACTTGTGTCATATCTCTGCGACTCTTTCATATCGTAAGTGTGATAGCTGGTGGGGAGGGTCAGAAGGAGAGGGATGGGAAGCAAAAGGAGTTACCAGTGTTCGATGCCTCTAAAGCACAGAGTTTATGTGAGCTGTATTTTGCTTTTCTAGGCTTTTCTTTGGACTCAGGGAAAGGGATCGTTTCTAAAGATGACATCACTTTTGTCTCTGGTGCTCCGAGGGCCAATCACAGTGGAGCTGTGGTTTTGCTCAAAAGAGACATGAAGTCTGCACACCTTCTCCCCGAGCACATATTTGAAGGAGAAGGTCTGGCTTCTTCCTTTGGCTACGACGTGGCAGTGGTGGACCTCAACAAAGATGGGTGAGAGCATGTTAGGTCATTTCGCATTTGTCAGGAAATCGGGGCTTCTTCGGCTCCTGTAGGTCTTGATTCAAAGGATATTTTTGCTGCCAAATTTTTAGCATCCTTTCATGCCTCTATCACTTATATTTTGGCAGTAGACAATCATTACCCTTCCTGAGAGGTAGGATTACATCTTTTTCAGTTTTTAGTTTTTACTCATGTCTTGGGAATGGGTCTGTGAGAATTAAAATTTGGGGCAAAAAATTAACTTGGAAAATGACACCTACGTGGATCTTTTCACTGGTTTCTTAAGGGGCTGTTGGAACATCTAGAACAGTGATGGCGAACCTATGACACGCGTGTCAGAGGTGACAGGCGAACTCATTTTTTTGGTTGATTTTTCTTTGTTAAATGGCATTTAAATATATAAAATAAATATCAAAAATATAAATCTTTGTTTTACTATGGTTGCAAATATCAAAAAATTTCTATATGTGACACGGCACCAGAGTTAAGTTAGGGTTGTTCAAAATGCTGACACGCCGAGCTCAAAAGGTTCGCCATCACTAATCTAGAATGTCCTGTTGAAAGTAGGGATTGGAGACAAACTCAATATATAGGTCTGTGGCTGGTGGTGCCAGTTTGGGTCTGGAGTGGAAGGAGGAGGGGTGTGGAATCTTTACTGGGAGTCTCTGCACTTAGATCTAACTTGGGGAACTGGCTTCAAGTTCTTACCCTCCATAATTTTTCTTTGGTTTTAAAAAATATTTTAATTGATGAGATAGAAATTGCAGAGTTGGGGCCCTTTCTACCATATCACACCTCTTTGTGTCCTTGTACCTGGGCTGGTGGTACTCTTCCCAAGCTCACTGTTCAGATGATGGTTCACAGTTCCTCCCCTCCTTATGCTTTTAGGTGGCAGGATATTGTGATTGGAGCCCCACAGTATTTTGATAGAGATGGAGAGGTTGGAGGTGCAGTGTATGTCTACATGAACCAGCAAGGCCGGTGGAAAAATGTCAAGCCAATTCGTCTTAACGGAACCAAAGACTCTATGTTTGGCATTGCCGTCAAAAATATTGGCGATATTAATCAAGATGGCTACCCAGGTAAAAGAATAGATTATGAAATGATTATGATTTGTAGCCAGATTATTTGATTGACGAGTGTTTATGGCATCTTACTTAAAACATTGTATTGAAATGTTTTAAAAATGTAATGTTTGTTACAATGTGATGTTGTCAACAGACATTGCAGTTGGAGCTCCCTATGATGGTAATGGAAAGGTTTTTATCTATCACGGCTCCGCGAGCGGAATAAACACCAAACCAACACAGGTAACCAGATAACAATGGGGGTCTGAGCTTTTTGCCTGGTGATAGAATATTTAAGTTTAAGTGAATTTCCCACTAATCAAGTTTTAGCTTACAAATCTACAGTAGTATGAATTTTATGTTTTAAAAAATGTATTATTTGAAGATAGCTAGGAAATAGATGTAACTGCAATGACTTGCTTGTTTTAATTGTAAAATGTCTTTGATAAGTGAGGAATCAAAGTAATCCGAGGAAAAGACTGTTCTACACTGGCAGCATAAATAGGTGGACATGTATGTGATGTATTTCCTTCAGTAGCATACTAAGTAGAGATGAAACCAGGCAAATGAAAGAGATGATTGTTATTGCATGGATTATTCAGACACCATAATTTAAAAATTGCTTTTGAGAAAAATAAGACATTCGGGGGACAGTTAGAAAGGTTTGGTTTGAAATATCCTGATTGACTTAATGCAGTAAACAAGCTCATCAAAAATTGGCTCTTTTATTCTTTGAGATACAGTGTAAGTCAGGTGACTTTTATGCATCATATGTATGCTTAGTTCTGATTTATTTATAATTGAATATAATTTATTAGTGAACCCTTAAACTTCATTTCAAAAACTTGTGTGTCCTTTTCAAAGTATGGGTGGTAAGAAGCTCATTTTGGTGGCCCCGTGTCCATTTTGATGACCTGTTCTTTTTAGGTTCTCGAGGGTAATTCACGTTTTTTTGGATATTCGATTGCTGGAAATATGGACCTTGATAGAAATTCCTACCCTGATGTTGCTGTTGGCTCCCTGTCAGATTCAGTAACGATTTTCAGGTGTGTTAAAAGCATGTTCAATACTTGGGTTACACTAAAATTTTGACTTTTGAATTGAAATTTGTAATGCCTATACTTCAAAAGGCAAAAGTTGGCATGAATTTTGAAGATTTTTCTTTTGCGAGTCGAATAACAATGTGATAAAAACCTACTTTGTAAAATCTCTCTAATTTTGAACTCACTGAGAAAAAGATAGGTTAGAATTGGTGACTAAATGAACACGTGTATGTGATTGGGAAGAGAAAGAATTCGGGGGGAAGTTCTCAGTAGTGGTTTGTGTTGATGGTAATACACATCCGTCCTGGGTACCTGGCCTCCCCGGCTGTCACAGTGGGGAGTGCCCTCTCTTAGGTTAAAGCATCCACCCCGTGTTTTACCTGGTGGTTCTCCAGCTCTACTTTTATACCCTTTTCTCTCTGTTCATATGGATACTAACCATACAATAGTCAACATTTTTAAAAGGTGGAAGAGTCTATAACATTCAACTATTTCAGCAAAGTTTCCATCAAAAAGCAATTTGAACTTCTAGTTCTAGTTTGAGGTTTAGTCCTCAGGTATCAAGAAGACTTGACCTCCTGTACCAAAATTTGGTTACCAAGTCTTTCCCCGAAGATAACCTGTCTTTAGTTAAATACTTCCTTCTGTCTGTTGTTGATGTTTAAACACCCTTACTTTCCCTGTCCTCATAAACTGGTTGTGAATCCTGTAAACTTGTTCCTTTTATCCTCATAGATAGTAGGAAAGTAAATTTCAAAATCATATGATAATGAAAGGAAAACCAACTCCCTTATTTTACACACGAAGCAATGGAGGCCCAGGATTGCCTGAGCTTTTAAGGCTGGATCCTGCGGGAACAGGGCATGACACCTAGATCTTCCCAACTCTTTCCCTGGACATTTTTCCCATTAAATCATTTTAGAACTTCAGGGTAGTTAGTAAATAGATGCCAGTTAAATACAAGACAGCTGGGTCAAAAAGATTTGCTTTATGTATTAAAAGGCACAATTTTCATGATTCATATATACTGTATACTCAGAATTGCATGTGGATGTTGGGTGTTTAAAAAACAAGTAAAAATAGAGTTTGGCCAAAATGTGTTAAAATACTTTCTTTTGAAATTTATGCCACCCTGAAGCCTTAATGCTATGATATTCAAAACACTTTAGCATCTATAGCAACTGGTGTTAAAAGATCTGTGAATTTTTGCCTTTTAAATATGCTCTTGAAACTTGGAGTGTCTCTAGTTAGTATCTTAGGAACTAGCAGCTGCCAAGATGTAAAATAACAATAGAATGAAAGGGAGATACAGACTGTGGGCAGCGTTGGCCTTTTATTGGCTCCCACCTTCCCCGAGAGTGTACTCGGGCCCTCTCTGGCCTACTGATAGATTGATTCCAGAAGTTCAACCTAGTTTTTTGGAATTGGAATGCATTTTCCTACCAGAATACTTCTCCAGGATGGCCGGGTTCACCACAAGCCCACTACAGTCAGTCTGACGGAATCTGTGTGGTAATGAAACCACGGAACCCGCTCTGAGTTCTGGCTGGAGAGAGACAGAGGCGAGAGGTATCTCCCCATCCCACTCGCACCCCCAGCCACTGCACACTTGCAGGACTGTGCCCGTGCAGAGGTCAGGTCACAGGCCAGCACTGACCCCGTGGCTGTGGGGAGTAGAGGTGAATACGTAAGGGAGAGAGAAGATGCTTTTATACGGTGAGAAGACCTGGTGTGGGATTCCAGCGTCTTGAGTGTTTGTGAGGTTGGGGTGAGGTAGAGCACAGAAGGGAGAGGTTGAGGGACTCGAATGTTTGCCTACAGAGGTATTGTGGGGCAGAAAAGTAGTAGTCCGTTCCAGCAGCAGGAGGCCAAGGACTCAAGGTTGGGGGTGGTGGTTCCGGGAGGACAGGGAAGGGCGAATGTTTGTAAGATGGAGGCCTGTGGTCGTGAGGTTGGGGTGAGGTAGAGCACAGAGGGGAGAGGTTGAGGGACTCGAGTGTTTGCCTACAGAGATATTGTGGGGCAGAAAAGTTGTAGTCCGTTCCGGCAGCAGGAGGCCAAGGACTCAAGGTTGGGGATGGTGGTTCCGGGGTGGATAGGGAAGGGCGAATGTTTGTAAGATGGAGGCCTGTGGTGCAGGATCGCCTGTGTCACTAAAACTCTTGTGTATGCAGAAACCCTAATAGTGAGCATCCCAGCTCTTAGGGGTATGCTGGTGTCACCTTTGTGAAGGCTATTTTGGCAAGATTACTCATAATTGAAATATACATATTCTTTGACTCACTCTGCTGTTAGGAATGTATCGGGGCTGATGCATTAGGAATTGTCAGGGCTGAAAGCCAGAAACAATACGCATGGGTACCGACGAGGGACTGGTTACATCCACGCTGTCACCTCAGCACAGCGCGGCCCCGCCAGCTGTGGGAACCATGTGAACAGATATGAGAAGACCCAAAACGTTAATAAATGGGAAAAGCAACAGAAAGCATGGGATTTCCCATTTAAATAATTATGTGTATCTTTTTATATTTAATTTTAAACCAACATAGACTATGACGTGTCTGGGAGAATACACAAGGCTACTTGGGAGCTTGGGTGGGGATGGAGACACTATTTGCTTGAAAAACCCTGGGACTTTTACATGTTGTACCTATTACTCTTTCAATGAAAAAAAAAAACCTATTAAAACTAGAACTTTTTAGAATTTTCAATGTTATTTAAAAATTTTAAGTAAATTTTACAGAATCGGGTTTTAAATTATATTTAACAGTTACTTTCTTCAGTCATAGCGGAAATGAATTACACGGGGGAACATTTTCCCCTGTGGTTTTAAGGCGTATGGGGCAGCTGAGGTGCCAGTGTAGATGATGAATCCATCTCACATGCAAGGAGGCAAGGACTGACCTTGTTCCCTACTCCTTTGTCTTCAGATCCCGGCCTGTGATTAATATTCAGAAAACCGTCACAGTGACACCCAACAGGCTCGATCTCCGCCAGAAAACGGCCTGCGGGGCGCCCAGTGGGATCTGGTGAGTGTCCGCCGTGCCCACAGACCCCTTGGTTTCACACGTCTGCTTTGTGACAACACGATCGCCCTGAAGAGCTGCAGGGAAGACTGAGAAATGGGCGGAGGGAAGAGGAATCTGCCGAGTGAATGTGTAACAAGTTGCTCATCAATGAGCCATGGGGGGGATTTGAGAGCTGGGGAACAGGTTGGTTTTTTTCTGCTGCAATAATGCATCTTTTAAGAAGTATGTGTTCAATTTTATACAGCCTGAAGGTTAAGGCCTGCTTCGAATATACTGCCAAACCCGCTGGTTACAATCCTTCAATCTGTAAGTACCTAGTACCCTTTAAAATTACGTGTTTTCTGTCTGCCAGGTTGAAAGTTCTGCATAAAGAACAGAAAAATAAAACGGCAATGGCCAAAATGGGCCCGTGCATTCTTGTTTACGGAATCAAGTCTCTCCGCTGTCTTCCCTTTCATCAGGAGGGTGCCGCACGCACACGAGGGAAACACTCGCCATTTGGTCCCCATTTGAATTTTCCAGAGCAGATGGTTTGGGGCAGAATGTCTTGGAAAAGGATTCATTTGTTACCACAACTGTTTCCTCCATGTCTGTCTTTGAACGGCAGTGTGGAAAGTTGGTTTTGCGGTTGCGAGGTGGTGGGTGGTGGTTGTGGACGAGTGACCGCAGGAGCCCAGTAGGGCAGAGTCATTGCCAGTTTCTGCTCTTTGCTCCCGGCCTCCTCCCACTGGGGCTGGAGCACTGCAGCTGTGCCCCCAAGGCTGGCCTCGGCCGTTCAGAGACTTGGGCTCTGCTCCTGGTTCCAGCTCTGATGCTGACAGACCCTACAGCTCAGAGCAAGTCCCTTCACATCTGAGTTTTTATTTTCCCATTCGTTCAAAAACAAATGCCTCTAATAGGAATTACTATGTAACATTGTGTGGAGATCAGAGGAGACGATGTGGTGAAAGCAGTTTGTCATTTCTACGGTGTCATTCTGCTCCTTCATTTGTAATCCGCATCCTGACCGGGCTCCCCATCCAACAGCCAGAGTGATGGTCGATCACGAGCTTCTCTGGTGTGTCTTGGAGCAGCCATGCCTCTTCCGGTGGAAGCCACCTGCCCCAGCTCCCGATGGGGGTGTGGACATTTACAGAAAATCTTTCCCCAAAAGGAAGTACGAAGAGTGAGGGTGATTTCCCTCGGGGTCTGGCCTGGGTCCCCGCTGCTGTGCTTTGTGGTGTCTGTGCCACCAAGGGAAGCTTCTAGAGGGACAGGTAGTTCCTGTTCTTTTCATGTTTTTCCTCCACCTCGAGATAATGAGTTTGCATAAGATTGCTCCTTGTTACCTCAAGTATTGCTCTGTTTTCTCTGTTTAAAAGATGTCCCTTTTCCTCTCCCAGTGTTTGGCAGATAAGTCTGCTCCCACCTGGGCCACTGTCATAAGCTGCCTAGCCTTCACCTTCCGAGATGCTAAGCTCTCAGGTGGTTTCTGCGTCTCCCTGACGTGTCGGGTGGCGTCCGCTGGATCATCTCCCTGGGACCTGAGACCAGGGCCCCAGGCACGTGGTGCCGGCGGATTATGGCTTTGTGTGCAGGCGGAGCGTGGCCTCTCGCTTTGCTTTTGATGCCGCTGGCATTTCATTGAGCAGAGAAACAATTCTTTGTGCGGCTTCGAATGACAAGAAAACGTCTTCGATGACTTCGCACTGTCTGCCGTCCTTCCGGGATCACTTGTGTCGTTTCTACCCAAATGCAGTACCTCACGCCTGCCTGCTCGGATCACAGGCCCTTTACGTTGTGTTGGGAAGTGGACGAGAGAGACGGGGAGAAATGGGGACTCTGAGTAGGCCAGGAGAGGAACGGGGAACATTTCTATTCTCTCAGCCTGTCATTTTCTCAGGCCACGCTCAGTTCGACAATAGACGTGAAATCTCATCAGGGCATTCCTTGTCTCCCCCCAAATCAATATTAATTTCATCTTATGTAGCGACTCCATTAACCAAGTGCTTATTGAGGGCCTCTTATGGATAGAACTCTTGTCTCTGAGGACATTTAGAGAAAACCTGCCCTCATTGCCTGTACTTCCACAGTATTGGGAAATTCTAAATCAAACTAAGCAGAACGTCCACAGAGCGTGTAAGGGAATACATCTGCGGTCTGAGAACTCGGGCTTGTTGGGCCAGGCCATTTTAACTCGGCGCAGCCCTCGGATGTGGCGCTCTGTACGGACAATATTTATAATTGAGCCTTAATGAGTGTTCTCCGTGGCTTGCCCCTCAAAAGGTCGGCCAGGGTGGCCTGCAGGGATTTTAAGATGATGTAAACTGTCTGGAGGGTTAGGGGAGGTTGGAGTGATTTGGGTGGATAAGCGGTTTTAATGCACCCACACCTCCCCTCCTCTTGCTACCAGGGGCACTCAGCGTGGGAGCCCTCGTCTGGTTCCCTGTGAAGTTAGCAGGTCACTGATAAATGGATGATGTCAAGGCTACCGAGGGCCTAAAATGGAGACCCATTCCATTTGGCAGCCATGACATTTGAAAATTCTTTACGTGGACACAGAAATTACTTTCGAAACTGTCAGTGTTCCTGAATTTTGGTCCAGCGCATGAAGCGCTGTCATTTCAGCATAAGGATAACGTCCCACTGTGTGCTTGTGTGGGCCGATGTGTACCGGTGTGTATGTTGATGTGGGGCTAGTCACTCCCGCTTCCATTCTTCTATTGTACAAATGGTATTTGTATCAGGTATTGTGCTTTGCTGGGCAGTACAGTGGTGAGCAGACTGAGGTGGTCCCTGCCCATACATAGCTCTGCCCGGGGAAGGTGGTCAGATGGTTACAGCGCAATGGGCTAAGTGTAGAATACTGTCAGATCCCCCAGCGGGGGGAAGGCCTCCCAGAGGAAGTGATGTCCATGCTGAGATCTGAAGGAGTAGGGTTTGTGGGCAGTCAGGGGGAGGGGAGGAAAGAGGGGGTCCAGCTGGCAGAGAGAGAGTGAGTCACGCAGAGGTCTAGAGGCAAGTGGGAACCTGGATATTTAAGAAACTTTAAAATCAACCAATTGTCTTTTGTGTTGGTGACACAGACTTAGAAGCCGGCTCTACCTCTGTTGCTCACTGTGTGGCTCTGGGCCAGCCCCACCTCTGTGGGCCTCCATTTCTTCGTCTGCAGGAAGCGTGTATTACCATAGATGCTCTCAGAAGGGCTCTGGCAAACTCTACCTTGAATGAGAGACCAAGGGGCATTGATTAAATTTTCTGCGTTTTTTGGAGCAGATTTTTTTTTCCCCTTGAGGCTGCCTCCTCTGGCACTGTACCCCCTTTGGTTTCTTCCCTTCTGATGGCTAGTGATTAATGAGTGTAAGTAACTTCAGAAAGAGCATAAAGAAAGAGCAGCTGTATCCAGAGAACTGGCAAAGCATGCATTCTGAAGTCAAGGATGGAGATTTTGATTATCCAGGTCCTGGCTGGCCTCAGCTCCATTAGTCTAGGTCAGCGGTTACCAACCTTTCGGACCTCACGGACCACCAGTTGGCGACCGCTGGTCTAGGCAGTCAAGAGCAGCTGTGCCTTCTAGAGCTCTGCAGGTTGGAAGTGTGGCTTGTGGAAGCTAGGTTAGCTGACACACAGGCCCTTTAGCCATTAAAAGGAATATGTTTTATCTTTTAATTCTTTTTTTTTAACTTGAAAAGTCTCATCCTATTGTCAAAAGTCTTTTATGTCTCTAATACATATTATTCCTCTTTAGACACCTGTCCTTTATCAGTGCTTATTAAACTTTAGCATGTAAAGAACTACCTGGTGGTCCTGTTACGATGCAGAGCTGGCTCAGCGGGTCTGGCCGGGGCCTGTGTCTGCATCCCTAGCAGACCTCAGGAGATGCTGCACTGCTCGTCTAGAGACCCTTTTGAAGGGGATTGTTTTTCTTTTCTTTTTAATTTTTTAAAATTTAATTTCTTTTTCAATTACAGTTGACATATAATATACTCATCTCAGGCGTACAACATAGTTATTAGACATTTATATGCCATATGAAGTGGTCACCCTAGTAAGTCCAGTACCCATCTGACACTATACATAGTTATTACATTATCATTTACTACTAGAGGCCCGGGGCATGAATTCGTGCACCAGTGGGGTCCCTCAGCCTGGCCGGTGGGGTCAGGCCGAAACCGGCTCTCTGACATCCCCTGAGGGGTCCCAGATTGCAAGAGGGCGCAGGCCAGGCTAAGGGAACCCACTGGTGCAAGATTGGGGTCAGGGAGGGATGCGGGAGGTTGGCCAGCTGGGGAGGGACCACGGGAGAGCTCCAGGGTTTGTCCGGCCCATCTCGCTCAGTCCCGATCGGCTGGACCCCAGCAGCAAACTAACCTACTGGTCAGAGCATCTGCCCCCTGGTGGTCAGTGCACATCATAGTGAACAGTTGAATGGCCTTAGCATATCATTAGCATATTACACTTTGATTGGTTGAATGGACGACTGGACACTTAGCATATTAGGCTTTTATTATATAGGATGTTTTCTGTGTGGTACTTTACATCCCATGACTGTTTTTATAACTGGCAATTTTTTACTTCTTAATCCCTTCTTGAGTGTCAAAGTGCTAGGACATTTAAGCACCGGCCTGTTGAAGGGAGAGTCAGTGTAGGCCCTTAGGGAGCGTTGGGTTCCCCTGTTATCTTAAGTGCCCCGAGTTGCTGAGATTCAGCCAGAAACTGATTCTTAGACACTGCTCAGAGGTTTTGACTTATTCTTGAGCTCCCCCTGGTGGCTCAATGAAAAATTAACTTTAAGACTGTCAACAACAGCAATGGGCAGGAAAGGACAGCTTGACTTGAACACCGTAAGTCAATCAAAATGTCCATTATCAAGAAATCTGAAGAGAAACAGTGGCAGTGGGGAAAGTGTCCTTCTAAAAGGAATCAAAATATTTTTAAAAGGAGCTCAGCATGCTTACAGCTGAATGTGCATGAATGCACTTGAAGATCATATGATTTCTGTCCCTTTTATCTAGCCATTGTGGGCACACTTGAGGCTGAGAAGGAGAGAAGGAAATCCGGGCTGTCATCGAGAGTTCAGTTTCGGAACCAAGGTGCTGAGCCCAAGTATAGTAAACAGATCACGCTGAGCAGGCAGAAGCAGAAGGCGTGCATGGAGGAAACGCTCTGGCTGCAGGTGAGGCTGGCAGGCAGTCAAAACAGTTTTTTTCAACGGGTACAAGGGTTGGGTATTATGGTGGCATGTATAGGTTTTGAAATTTATCCTAGAAACCCGTTATTCAGTATGAAATGAAGCGTTGTTCTGGGGTTTCCCAGTAGCATTTATCCCATGCTGACCTGTATCTGCAACCTTTCAGGAAAACATCAGGGATAAGCTGCGTCCCATCCCCATAACTGCTTCCGTGGAGATCCAAGACCCGAACACGCGGCGGCGAGTGAATTCACTTCCAGAGGTTTTTCCAATTCTGAATTCCAACGAGCCCAAGACGGTCCATACAGATGTAAGTCTTTCTGACTTGTTTTGCCATATTATTATGTTAAATCAAATGTCTTTAAAGGCATAAGAACTAGTGATGTGTTTTAAAGGTCATTTCTTTGTATTAAATAAGCTTTTAAAAATATCTGCAAAGTTGGAAGATCTGTTTCTCTGATTAGCCATGAATGTAGAAGCATACGGAATACAATTTGGAGCCAGAAAGTTTTTTTTTTTTTTGGCCACTGCAACTTATTGAGAGCATAATTGGCAGAACTTCTTATTCTCGTATCAAGTTTCTTCTACAGCTGTATGAAGAAAGAAAAATACATTGCATTTTGCCAGTAAGAACATTAAGATGTAGAAAACCAACTGTTGTTAGTCTGAACATTAAAATCAAGGAATATAAAAATTCAGCAAGTCAAAAAAGTAGCAGCTGTGAAATAGTCATTTAGTGCTAAGTGTACCCTACAATCTTAGGAGAAAAATCTATATTATATGGCTCGCTGCATGCCTATGAGGTGGGGCATGTTTGCTAGGTTTTAAGCTAGTTGAGATGCAAGCTTAGGCTGGGGCTGTGACATCCTAATTGGATGTTATGCACTTGCTGTCAGAATCCCGTCGGTACCACAGTGCCCACTCGGAGGCGCCTGGGTCTGGTGGTCCACTGATGAAGCTTTTTAGAAGTGAGTGCTCACTGTGTTAGGGTAGGAGCTGATGCCTAAATCTATACATTGTCAGTCTTTTTTTTTTTTTTTTTATCCTCACCCGAGGATAATTCCTAGAGAGAGTGGAAGGGGGGAGAAGGAGAAAGAGAGAGAGAAACATTGACGTGAGAGAGACACATCGATTGGTTGTCTCCTGCATGCACCCAACCAGGGCTGTGGATCTAACCTGCAACCGAGGTACATTCCCTTGACTGGGAATCGAACCCGAGACCCTTTGGTCTGCAGGCCGATGCTCTAACCCAGTGATGGCGAACCTTTTGAGCTCGGCGTGTCAGCATTTTGAAAAACCCTAACTTAACTCTGGTGCCGTGTCACATATAGAAATTTTTTGATCTTTGCAACCATAGTAAAACAAAGACTTATATTTTTGATATTTATTTTATATATTTAAATGCTATTTAACAAAGAAAAATCAACCAAAAAAATGAGTTCGCGTGTCACCTCTGACATGCGTGCCATAGGTTTGCCATCACTGCTCTAACCACTGAGAAAAACTGGCCAGGGCCACATTGTCAGTTTTTATTGTCCTTATACTTTTGTATATTTTCATATATTTTTCATGTTGATCATCACATTAATATTTCTCGTGTATATTCCCAGCTCTGTAGTCATGTTAAACATAACAGACAAGGAGACAGTATTCTAATTATTTATCAGGGTGATTATCGAGCACTATTAGCACTGCACCTAGCAGACATACTCCTGGTTCATAGGCGGATGCTCAGCCACTGAGCCACATTGGCTGGGCTCCAAGTGTCTTAAAATACAGTTCTGTTAGACCAAGGGGGCATGGCCTGCATGCCTAAGTGTGTTTGAAGCTTGGCTTCTGCTCTGGTAACTGTCACACGTGGAAATGAACCATGAGGAGAAAGCCAGTCACCAGCCTCTGTGAGCCCCAAAGGGCAGACGTTTCTGACCATGGTTTTGTTTTCCTCCAGGTGCACTTCTTAAAAGAGGGATGTGGAGACGACAATGTGTGCAACAGCAACCTTAAACTAGAATACAAGTTTTGTACCCGGGAAGGAAACCAGGACAAGTTTTCTTATCTCCCGATGTAAGAACTGCTCTGTGGCCCCAGCCGATCGGATGTGAGCCCCAAAGGGCAGACGTTTCTGACCATGGTTTTGTTTTCCTCCAGGTGCACTTCTTAAAAGAGGGATGTGGAGACGACAATGTGTGCAACAGCAACCTTAAACTAGAATACAAGTTTTGTACCCGGGAAGGAAACCAGGACAAGTTTTCTTATCTCCCGATGTAAGAACTGCTCTGTGGCCCCAGCCGATCGGACTGAGGGGTTAAAAAGGGGCTTACCGAGAACATACTGAGGACTTTGTCATTTTTCTCTTCTTTAGTAGTCAAAAAGGTGTTCCAGAACTAGTCCTAAAAGACCAGAAGGACATTGCTTTAGAAATAACAGTGACGAACAGCCCTTCTGACCCAAAGAACCCCACCCGAGATGGCGACGACGCGCACGAAGCTAAACTCATCGCGACTTTCCCGGACACTCTGACTTACTCCGCATACAGAGAGCTGAAGGCCTTCCCTGTGAGTGCAGTTAGAGACCAGCTGGGAGGGGGAGCCACACTGTGGCAAGGGCCTGTTGTGACCTAGTGTGTTTTTCTGTTGTAGGAGAAACAGCTGAGTTGTGTTGCCAACCAGAATGGCTCACAAGCGGACTGTGAGCTCGGAAATCCTTTTAAAAGAAATTCCAGTGTAGGTCCTGCCTTCCCATATTGAATTTTACTGTTTTAAGTGCCATGATAATGTTGATATGTTTGACCCGTGCTCATGGCTATTTTTATTTTTTAGGTTACTTTTTACTTGATTTTAAGTACAACTGAGGTCACCTTTGATACCACAGATCTGGATATTAATCTGAAGTTGGAAACGTAAGAGTCACTTCAACCTTTCCATTCAGAATTATTTCGTGAAAACACAGCCAGTCAGCGGATTGGCCCTGATCTACCTCATAAAGGAAGTGTAATTGTAGTGAGAAAACTGACTGTTAAAATAAAACCCTATTGTTTCCTTTTCATTTTCAGAACAAGCAATCAAGATAATTTGGCTCCAATTACAGCTTCTGCAAAAGTGGTTATTGAACTGCTTTTATCGGTCTCTGGGTAAGTGTTTGTGTTTAACATAACAAATCAGTGTTTGAAAGAACCACTTACAAGCCTCACTAAAACGGGTGTTTTTTAATTTAACAGAGTTGCCAAACCTTCCCAGGTGTATTTTGGAGGGACCGTCCTTGGTGAGCAAGCTATGAAATCTGAAGATGAAGTGGGAAGTTTGATAGAGTATGAGTTCAGGGTGAGTCCTAGCATGGGTCCTTTTATTACAGATACTGGAAGCTAACACGTGCTGACTAGGGTCTCCAATATGTAATTTTAATAAGTCATATTAATAAATAAGCCTGATAAATGCTCAGTTACTAACACACTGGCTTACAGGGAAAGTCCTGTCCTCCAGAACAGAGAACAACACAGGACTTTGTTCAGAATCCAGTTCCGTTTGCTTTTCTTATCAGAGAGTTTGAATGTCAGTGTGGTATAGAGACAAAGGGACACTTGATCTCCCTGCCCCCCCCACCCCCCCACCCCCAGTCTGTGTAAAAGCAGGAAAATCAAAAAGTGATATTTGGCTTTAGAACAGCAGTTCTCAACCTGTGGGTCGCGACCCCTTTGGGGGTCGAACGACCCTTTCACAGGGGTCGACTAAGACCATCGGGAAATACATATGTAATTACATATTGTTTTTGTGATTAATCACTATACTTTAATTATGTTCAATTTGTAACAATGAAAATGCATCCTGCATATCAGATATTTACATTACGATTCATAACAGTAGTAAAATTACAGTTATGAAGTAGCAATGAAAATAATTTTATGGTTGGGGGTCACCACACATGAGGAACTGTATTAAAGGGTCGCGGCATTGGGAAGGTTGAGAACCACTGCTTTAGAATGTGCTGTGATCCTCCTCCGTTTTAAGGCCATCTCTCTTTCTGCTGTGGCTCATGCCCACTCCCCTTTCCCAAGCCCAGTTTTGTGCTGGGGTATGTGGGTTTGGCATATGCCAGTAAGAAAGACCAATGATTGCTCTGAACCCTTTCACAGTAGGCAAGTACAGCGGCTCGAAGCCCAGGTGATGGCACATAAACGCACGGAACAGAGCTGGCTCCTAGACAGGCGGGTTTTGGATCTTTGTGGCTGAAATCCTGTTCCTGAAAGTATAGTGACCATTGTTGAGGTGAATGACTGAAATAGCAGGAATGAGCTCACCCCTGACTCCAGCAGGGTTGAGGCTGAATTCTCCTCTGTGCGGCTCTTAGCCCGACAGACATGGCTGTGACAGGCGGTGTTGGCTGTGAGGCCTCTGCGGGTGTGGCTGAGAGAGGTCTGGGTTCCGGAGCAGTCCCCCAAACAGGCAGAGGGCTCGTCCCTGACACAGGCACGGGGCTTGTACCTCTTCTAGCTTCTGCTGCAGGAAGTTGCTCCACCTGCAGCGTGGCCTCAGATTTGTGGCTGCCATCAGGGTTTTACTCAGTCTCCCAGGTGCTATCCCACGCCTCCCGAGGGTGGTCCAGGACAGAGGCAGCTTCATTTTTTCAGTCGGTGGGGTTTCCCAGAAGCAGGTGGTTGGTGCACTGCCACGGCCCAGGCCTTATCACCTGCCAAACAGGGTGGTTACAGAGCTAGTCACACGTGACTGTCCCCGGACACGTGGAGAACGGGGTGTATTTGTACCCAATAACCTGTTGCACACTGCAGCTGTTCCTGGGTTGAATGAACCATCATTTCTCTTTGACCTTTTTTTCTTTCCATTTTTATTGACTAGAATCCTTTAAGCACAAATCTCTATTTTGAATACCCTACCTATAGTCTAATTTCGGAGCCTTTGCTTTGATTGTGTGATCATGCCAAGTATTTTGTTTGTTTTCTCTTGGAAATAGGAGCTGCTACTTAATTCTACATCACAATTGCACAGAGATAACGCGTATTGTTTCCTAACAGGTTATTAACTTGGGCAAGCCTCTTAAAAACCTGGGCACAGCAACCTTGAACATCCAGTGGCCAAAAGAAATCAGCAATGGCAAATGGTTGCTTTATTTGGTGAAAGTAGAATCCAAAGGATTGGAAAAGATAGCCTGTGAGCCACCGAGTGAAATAAACTTTCTGAACTTAAAGGTATGTTGGTGGGTTCATCTCACGTCTCCATAGAGAAGAAGGGAGAAGCTGACTTCTGAGGGGGAACCCACTACTTTCCTGAGGAAACCCATGTGCTGGCATGCCGACTCTTCCTTTGGCATCTCAGTTTCTCTCCGATAGTTGTGTTGTAACCAAGCCAGGCTGAGGATTTCTGTGGATAGGAGACCATTATGGTTCCTAAGTCAGGGTCATTCATTGCTTGTTGAGGCAAATGGCATTTTCTGAAGTTGTATGACCTAGCACAGTGATGGCGAACCTCTGACACGCGAACTCATTTTTTTGGTTGATTTTTCTTTGTTAAATGGCATTTAAGTATATAAAATAAATATCAAAAATATAAGTCTTTGTTTTACTATGGTTGCAAATATCAGAAAAATTTCTATATGTGACACGGCACCACAGTTAAGTTAGGGTTTTTCAAAATGCTGACACGCCAAGCTCAAAAGATTCGCCATCACTGACCTAGCATGACAAATAGAAAGGACTGGGACAGGCGGGGAGGTGGGGGTGCAGCCAGTGTTAACTCCCGGTAGAAGAAAACTCATTCCAAAAGATATTGGCACCTTAGCCAGGGACCTCCAAAGCCTTTCATTCTTGTTTCTTAAAACAGTGGATATGTATGAAGTGCTTACTGAGTCTCGGGCACTGTGCTAAACATTCTGTTGGCACTTTCTCATTTCATTCTCCGGCTAGTCCTGTGAGAGTAGCCTTCTTTCCCTCACCATTTCACGGATGAGGAAATGGAAATTCAGAGAGAACTTTCTCAGTCACTCAGCCTCTAAGAGGCAGGTTCAACATTCAGCTCCGCCTGCTTTCAAAGCCGCCACGTGGAACTCTTTCCTCTCCTGCTCCACACGGACACACCTGTTTATCGTTTACACTCCAGTGTGATGGAGGTTGATGTAGTTAGTGAATGTCCGTCTCTTCTATCTTGAATTCTAAGGTGAATGGGTATGATCGGTGTTCATAGTTGGTGGTTTCTAGAATGATCCTTTATTCATCGACTTGGAGAAGTAAGATGCTCCATGATTCCTAATCCTTATTATAAGGGAAGGGCAATTTTAAAACTTCCTACAAGGCTTAGTTTTCAGTACTCTACTCTGGCTAAGTCACATGCTGGTTCTTTTTGCTTCTTTCTCTGTTTGTTCTCGTTCAAGATGGGCTGACTTTTCACCCTGTGTTAGGTACCACCTGGTGGTAGGGATACAGGAATGAGATTTGACCCCTATCTTAGGATGCTCACAGTTCGGTGGGGAGACAGAACAAAGAAAGCCTCTTTCTCTCCCTGGGTTTTAAGGTCAGAGTGGGAATTAATTACCCAAATCAGTAACCTTGAAGTGAGGTAATAACACTTGCAGATTTTTACACTTAAATTATTTCTGCACCTTTGGTGGCAGGAGAAGGGCAAATACTGTGGACTCCGTGAATTTGGCATCATTTGGGAGGGAGTACTCAGGAAGGTGCAAATCATGACAGAATTATGTTAAGTAGAATGATCTGGGATATAATTCCTTTCAGGAGTCCCACAACTCCAGAAGGAAACGGGAAATTGCCGAAAAACAGATTGATGGGAGCAAGAAATTTTCACTATTTGCTGAAAGGAAATACCAGACCCTTGTAAGTATTTCTCAAGAGCTGTGATCTGACGGAGGATTCGGGGAAGGTCTTCCCTGAGCCCTTGCGTTCTAACCCCTGCCTTCCTCTCCTCCCAGAACTGCAGCGTCAACGTGAACTGCGTGAACATCAGGTGCCCGCTGCGGGGGCTGGACAGCAAGGCCTCGGTGCTGCTGCGCTCCAGGTTGTGGAACAGCACGTTTCTAGAGGTGTGGCCGCTGGGAGGCTGTCTCCGGACGCCATCTGCCACCTCCTAGGACATGTCTCACTTCCCTAACGCATTCGCTACCTTTGTCTCCACACAGGAGTACTCTAAAATGAACTACCTGGACATCCTCGTGCGGGCCTCCATTGATGTAACTGCTGCCACCGAGAACATCAAGCTGCCGCACGCAGGCACCCAGGTGAGACGGGCCCCAGTCCGCACTCGGAGCAAAACCCCTGCCCAGGGCCCAGGACGTGCTGCCTTGGCGCTCATTTCACAGCACAGCGACCCTGTCAAGGAGAAATTCCGTAACGTCTTCAGGTGCTGCCACCGCGCGCTGTATTTTAATAGAATCACTGAAGAAAGGAGCGAATCCGGGGCCTCTGGTTCTGCAGTGCACATGGTAGACTTGGGAGCTGCTGCTCGATGGACCCGGTGCACCTCCCCACATCACCGCCAGCCTGGGGACATGAGACCAGATGTGGGGCTCATGGCTCCTCAGTAGAGGCTCTTGTTTCTGGAAGACGATGGAATTAGGGGCCTGGTGCCCAGTCCAGTGGCTGGGTCACAAGTGAAAAGGAGGTTGTTTGGGGCATTGTATGTCCCGAGGGCGTGGAGAGCTGGTGCTGGCGAATGGGATTTGGAGTCTTGGCTGGGATCCTGCTTTGTTTAATAATTGGTAGATTTGTGCAGGTTACTGGTCTCATATCTGGAACTCCTTTCTTTTGAAAACCGAGACATTGTCTCATCTCTAGTCTCATGACACTGATATTTACTGTGATTTCTGAGATACACTAGCTCAGATACCATATTTACGTACACATTTCCTTAGTATTTTAAGAAGTTTTTTGGGTCCTAAAAGTTTTAGCTTCCTTGAAGTGTCAGGATGCCTTTTCTTTTTATTCCTTTACATACCATGGGTTTTAGTTTCATCTTTATCTTGCTTCATCTATTTTTTTCCAGTAGGAAGATTACTTATCTTTTGAGATAGAAGCAAAGGAGGTTGAGTTATTCAGTCTTGTCTTTTAGTCTTAATATTGAAACGTCTTCCCATTGCATTTACTCTAATCCTGGCTTTAAAAAGAAAGAAAAAGAAAAATCCATTTTGTTCCTTTATAACCAAACCAATATTAAGAGTTTTGTGTTCCCTTGTCAGTAAAAGCTTTTAAGACATTGTTATAATAGAGAGAGAGCTGGTCACCTAAGTGAACCAGATTAGATGGTTCTATTTTAGCATCAACTAAATTAAACCCATCCTGGCCTTGGCTGGTGTGGCTCAGTTGGTTGAGTGTCGTCCCGTGCACCGAGAGGTCACCAATTAGATTCCGGTCAGGGCACATGCCCAGAGTGCAGGCTTGATCCCCAGTAGGGGGCGTGCAGGAGGCAGCTGATCGACAGTTCTCTCTTCCTCTCTCTAAAATCAAGAAAAACATGTTTTTAAAAATTAAATCCATCCAGTGAACAAGCACTTATTAAGGACTGTGTGCCTCCCCCTGCACAAATGCTAGAGAAGCAACGTTATTGAATAGGACGCAGGGCCAGCTGCTCAGGATCTGTGGTCTGGGAGAGGGGGAAGCTGGCGGGCACTGAGGATGTAAGCCACAGAAGGGGAGGGGGTTGGTCATTGGTTTACTTACATTCCGCACTTCAGTCCTAAGGAAGTAGGAAGCGAGTGTTTGAGCTGCCGAGAAAAGGAAATACAGGTAAAAAAGTGGACACGTCATGTTTCAGGGGAATGTGATTTTTCCTTTTTTTGGGCTCTGAATTCAGAGAAGAACTTGAGGTGGGTCCTTTTGTCAGGTGGGTTTCTGATAGGAGCAACATTCAATAAAGGGAATGTGTCTGTAATAGAGAGTTTTATAAAAGATACGAAAATTCCTTCATCAGGTGATTTATACTGATACATACTCAGCAGGACTGGAGGGCGTTCGATTGCAGAGTGATTTGGGGAAGCATTTCGCAGTGGGCAGGCTGCTAGGGTCGAAGCACTGCTCGCTGGTGGAATGGAATGGGTCAGCGGAGCTTAAGCCCTTTCTCATTACAGGCACATGAGGGATGAGGTCATTCCCAGGGAAATGCCTCGATTTTAATGAAACAAAAAAAATATTGGTTTTGGAGTTGGAATAGCTTCTACTCACCAGAACCTGTTACTGTCTATCAGTAAAAGTGGGTGTGGCAAGATGAGAAAGGCTCCCCAGAGCTCTGGGAATGGCGGCTCTGGGATGGTCGCCCCTCACCTGATGCTAAGGCCGGCGCTTCCTTCTTCCTAATCCCAGCTGGAGGGTGCCTGTCCTCAGACAAAAACCAAAAACCCTTCCGTTGACAATGGAGGTAAACAAACAATAAAGTCTCGCTCACTGGCCTCTCACCTCCCTGGTCCCCAGCGAGGCCTTGCACAGACTGGGTGCCCTTTAAATGGGGAGCCCAGCCCCTGCCTTCGGTCCTGGTCCTCGCACGCGGTCTTTGTCCAGTGAGTTGTTTTGCAGTTCCAAGGTTCCAAGTTCTGGTTACCATGTTAGCCAGACTCGGGGGCTTAGCACTCTCACCTGGATTCCCCCTGCCCGTCCTGCCCCCCTAGGCTGCAAAGTCAGAAGTTACCTTGTTCAGCCAGGGTGCTGTTGGATTGCAGCCTTTTGTGGGAGCGAGTCCCCCCTACGATCGGCTGTTTAAAGGGCTTTGGTGTACAGTGTGGTTATAATAAGGTTGATTCTCCTGGGCATAGACCAGACTCCACTCTCCACCGCCAGTTTTATCAGAACTTACTCTTACAAATAGGAATGGCTCTTCCAGATTGCCACCTGGCCCCCAAGGACACACTGTGCGCCTTTGCTGTGCTGGATACAAGGGAAGCAAAGGCCAGTGGGCTTCAGCACAGGCTAGTTGAGATGATCTTTCTGTCTAGTTTAGACTAGTCAGTTTACAGGTCGCATCCACTGTATTATTCTTCACTGGTCTCTCCTCATTCTTTCTTCCCTCCTTTATGGCTCACCTGTGTTAGAACCAGTAACCTGAAGGAAGGGTTGTTTTTTCCTAACAGCTGGGACACCAGTGGGAGGAAGGGCGGTGAGGGGAAGTGAGCTCTGAGGTCCCCTCTGTGGCTGGGAGCTAGAGTGAAACCTCACTGAGAGCAAAACAGGAAACCAGGGCGCCGATAAGGTGTTTACCGCTGCCGCTACAGGCAGTCTAGCTGGCTGGGAACTCTGAATGTGGTCCTTCCCACTAAATGTTTAAAGAAAAGCAGTTCTCTTACTTTTTAAGTATTTTCTGAATCAAATGGGACGGATAGGTGTTTTCTAGTATAAGTAGAAAGGGAAGTACTTCAATGAAGAGATTAAAAAAAAGAATTATAACTTAGAAATATTGGAGCACAGTGTAGACACATTTTTAGGCAGCACTTAGTGTTCAATACGCATGTAGAATATTTGACTAAAATACTTCTCAGAAGTTAAATGCCCCCTCTTAAGTTTTGTTTACTCTTTATTCTCTTACCTCCGAAATAGCAGAAATTATAAAGTGGTCAAATTCCAATCAGTATAGTTTACAAAATCATATGTGTAGCCATCACCTGGTCTTCTGGCATCACAAAAATTCACTTGAATTGTAAACTCACATTAACCAAGTTGTTGTGAATTTCCATGAGCAACTTCTTAGCTTTCTAAATGAACACTATTTCTATTTAATTGGTATTTGCCAACTATCAATGAATCCAGGGTCTAAACTATCCACACATATTGTTGTAGAAGATGGCACCAAGCCATTTTAGGATATTTCTAGGGTCCTTAGTTTGCTATCCTAAGGGAAAGTTAAAATGGTACTGATACTGTTATAATTAACCCAGTTTTTAGTTAATTAACAGGAAAGGAGCAAAGGGAAGGCCAGATAATGTAGGCAAGCCATTCGTGCCAGAAAGCTGAAGTTTTACACTCTTCTGGTCTGTTCCCTGCAGATCCTGGGGAAAGGGACTGGGCAAAGAAAGAATAAACCCATGCCCAGGAAGGTCTGGGAGTAGGTCACTGGCCATAATAGGCGTGGCCACTGCAAGGGTGTGATATCTGAGAAACATAAGCTCCTGAACAAAGGGAGTTCCTGCTCCTGGCCCTCTTGCTCTCTCGGGACTCTTGTTGTAGGGGGTGTGCTCTCATGCTCTGCACTCACCCACATGGCCCACAGCCATGTCCACCCCACACACAATGGACTAATGGAAGACAGGTGACACCAGGTGACTGGTGCTATGCCAGACTTAACTCCACATGGAAAGAAACTGGACACTGGCTTTGCTTCCAGCTCTGCTGACCAGCTACACCTTTTCCAGGACTGGTTTAAGGGAAATGGGACTTTTGAAACCCAGGGATAGAACTTCACACAAGTAAGAATCTCCCATTCTCCCATGCGAGTCTTAGAAAGCTCTTTTTCTCAAGATCACGTAAGATCCCCTCTTCTGCTAGCAACAGGGAAATTCCACCCATCCAATTCTCCAATGACAGCGTCAGTCATGCAGCTCCATCCCCGTTTTTATATTTCACAACATCTTTAAAATCTGAGTGACAAATGTAGGCTAATTGTGCCTAAACTGGCCCTGTTGTTTTCATCGCTGAAAACTAATTTTTAAAAAGTGTGATCGTTCTCAAAAAGCTACCAGGTTGTAAAGATGAAACAGATTTGGCTGCGTATTGATAACTTGCAACTTGATGTTGAATGATGATTTATTATACAATTTATCTACTTTCGTTGGCAAAGAAATACAGACGTTGTCAAAACATAAGCCAGCATTTTCCAGGTTCTAGGAAAGAAGCAATAGTCCATTAATAAAAGAGAGGGTCTTGCATCAAAAAGACATGTCATCCTTCCACAGGCTGCATTGTCCAAAGTGTGTCTGGACAGATTCCTGGTGTCAACTGTCTTCCTGTTTTGTAATCGTGTTGTTCTCTTGTGTGGCCATAGGTTCGTGTGACTGTGTTTCCCTCCAAGACGGCAGCTCAGCACTCGGGAGTTCCTTGGTGGGTCATCCTCGTGGCCATTCTTGCTGGGATTTTGATGCTTGCTCTATTAGTTCTTTTATTATGGAAGGTAAGTGATACCTGGCATTTGAATTTCGTGATTATAAACTTTATTTCTTGTTTTAAAAAAAGTGAATTCACACTAATAGTGTGTGTGAATATATAAATTATTATGTAATTTCTTTTCATTGATTCCTCTTCCCTTCCCAACATTTTATTATGAAACTTCTAACAGCAAACTTGAAATTTTACAATAAATACCTGCACATCTATCTAATACTTTGTGTTTAAAGATATATTATTTATACAGTATAAGAAGTTTCTTAGAGGTATAAATTTTGGTGTTTTTCACATATAAGTTAGCATCTTTGGCAAGTAACAATTTTTAAAATATTACTACTTTATCATTTTCCTCATCTATGATCAGATCATTTTCTAAATCTAAGCCAAATTTTTGGGTATCACATTAATCTGAATCTGTATTCCTATTAATTTCAACTGCAAAGTAATGTTCATGGCTGCAATTGGGGTTTCTTATCATTATAGCCAGGTTGGGATTATGAAATTAATGAATAACTCCATCTCAAGGGGGTCATGATAGCCTACATCAAACATGAGGAAGATTGGGTTCAACATGGTGTTCTTCATTAGAATTGGTCCTGCAAATAAAATGTAATATCTTTCCCCTGCTTCCTACTAGTAAGTAATTTACATTACCAGAAAGTGGGTGTGAGATGGATGCAAATTTTGTTGCCAGAGATTATGACCTATAGATTTTGGATTTATTCTCAGTAATGGAGGTCCACAGTCGCTTATCAAATTGCCAAAAAAAAAAAACCCACCTCTGAAAATTGAAAGTTTGTAATGATTTATTTGGCAGAAAACTTGACATGATGTGAAGAGGAGAGGCTATTGATAATCTTTAGCCCTTATGCATTAATTTCACTGCATAAATATTAATGTATTTGTTACAGTGGCATTATGTATGCAGAATGTTGCTTATTTATTTATTTATTTTAATATATTTTTATTGATTTCAGAGAGGAAGAGGGAGAGAGATAGAAACATCAATCAGAGAGAATCATTGATTAGCTTCCTCCTACATGTCCCACACTGGGGATCGAGCCTGCATCCCTGGGCATGTGCTCTGACCGGAAATCAAACCATAACCTCCTGGTTCATAATCGACACTCAACCATTGAGCAATGGGTTGAGAGTTGAGAAATCCAAGCTTTATAATCCTGGGCAAATCATTTCACCTCCTTGGGATACTGGGTTGCCTTAGCTGTTAATAAGTGGGTTAGATTAGATGATCTCATTGGTTCTTTCTTTTTTTTGTAAGTTCTAAAGTATTCCAACTTACAAATTGGAACTCTAAATATCTACAACCCTTGCATGAAAATCATTTTTATAACTTTATAGACACTCTTCTTTTTGAAACTGAACTGTTCGTTTTTATAAGTTTAAAGTCATAGAATTTTAGGGCCAGAAAGGACTTTAGTTCAGTGCCCTTTAAGTTGGATTTTGCACATCCATCCACAGAGGTGCCACAACTAAGTAGGTGAGGCTAAGACCAACATCCCCCTAAATTGTATCTGCTTTAAATATTGGGGTTCTACATAGGATTTTTTTTTTGGAGGTAAGAGAGGAAAGTCCTCCAGGCTGTTCCAGTCGCCTTCATTTTGCAAATTAAGATGCTCATGCCCATGGATATTATATAGGCTGCCAAGTTGGAGACAGGACTGGGGCTCTTGGTTCCCTAAGTTTATTAGGAGTGTTCACAGGTATTTAGTCACAAATAAATATCAAGATACATTGTCCAAATCAACACTGCCCAGTAAAACTTTGTCATAGTGGAATTGTTCTGAGGCTGTACTATCCAATATGGCAGCCACTAGTCACATGTGGCTGTTGAGCTCTTGGAATATGGCTAGTGCAACCGAGGTATTGACTTTTTTAAAAAAATATATTTTATTGATTTTTTACAGAGAGGGAGAGGGATAGAGAGTTAGAAACATCGATCAGCTGCCTCCTGCACACCCCCTATTGGGGATGTGCCCGCAACTAAGGTACATGCCCTTGACCGGAATCGAACCTGGAACCCTTCAGTCCTCAGGCCAATGCTCTATCCACTGAGCCAAACCGGTTAGGGCTAACTTTTAAATTTAATTTAATTTAAATCTGAATAGCAACGTGTAGTCAGTTGGTAGCTACCATATTGTACAAAGCAGATCTGGAGTTTTACCTTCATGAGTTGCCAGACCCAGAAGCAGAATTTTTCAGAAGGGCAGAGATTTATTCGACCAAGTTATATTTCGGAGGGCAGATCCATGGCCTTATGAACTAGATTAAAGTAAATAGAGAAAATTCTCATTGTTGAATGGAGGAAATTATAGTAGAAAGTGGAATTATATTTTAATAGTCATTTAGAGTACCTAACCTTACATGGTGGCCCAGAATTTGGAAAACTGACTATAATCATTCTTTCATGATGGTTTATTTATATTCTGATTCACCCCACCAATCCAGAGGCCTCAAATAGATGGCATTTTTACTTGAAAAGCAGAAAAATACAGTATCTCTCTGTTTTATTTGGATTTGTGCTATCTACCTATTTTAAGGTCCATATCTTCCTGTAAGAAAAAAACCACCCAAACCTAAAATCAGATGTGCATGCATTTTCCCTTTTAGGATGATTTTTGTCTTCGTGATTTCTGTTACAAATAGAAAAATCAATTAGCTGACTAATGTCATCCATATAAATGTTTGACCGGAGACCCATGGTAATAGAGTTGGGTTGATTGCTGTCCGAAAGTAACACAGTGCAGTGGCTGTTCACTTTTGGTTGATCCATTAGTGTGGTCTCTTTGTAAACGCACTATGAATAGAAAACAGGTTAAAATCTGAGATTTTCTTTTGTCTAGTTCTTCACAGAACTGCGAAACTGACTAAATACCTTGCTTCCTTGTAGTGTGGCTTCTTCAAGAGAAATAAGAAAGATCATTATGATGCCACATATCACAAGGCTGAGATCCATGCTCAGCCATCTGATAAAGAAAGGCTTACTTCTGATGCATAGTAGTGATCTACTTCTGTAATTGGTAATTGATCAATGTTTTTTTAATTGCTAGCTGTGGGACCTGCTGTGGTTGTGGTGGCTAACTTTCAAAGCAACAGCTTGCTATGTGTGTCCCATTAACAGATGTTTCCAAATGTCCACACTGGCTTGCCCTGCTTGGAATGGTTTTATTTATGTCACTTGAAAGCTATTTTGTTTTGTTTTAAATGCACAGAGTCATTTGTTGCAGGTGAGTTGTTTTGTGTTGTGGTTAAACATCACCCATAGCAATGAAGAAACTGAAATCTGTATACACACAGAAGGAGGCTTCATAGCCCCGTTTGCCACATAGTGTTCATTTAGTATGCAGCATCCCATGGAATTTCGAAGGTGCATGAGAAATCATCCCCGATTTCTTGTCCATTTTGGAATTTCCTACCGATGGACGCTTGTGTTGACTGCCTCATTAACCTTTTGCATGTTGGAAACATGGTGTTTCTCTGGGTGAGAGGACTTTCTCACTGTCATCTTTTGTATCTCCTTGCTATAAAGATGGGGGGAGGCTTGGAATGCTTTTATTGTTGCTCAGATATTGTTCTATGCTAGCTCAGCATGCACCTTCCTTTCCTGCATATCTACCTCAGGTCAAAGACCATTGCAGCAAACTGTGACCATTGGCATGATGGACATTGCGGCCAATTTCAGAAGGCAGTTCTTTACCAAAGTGTTACCTTCAATATCCAAAATTTAGTATAAAAATGCTCTGGACAGTTTTTATTTCAATGGACTTTGACCTTGTTTCATAGTCTTGAGATTCGATTCCACCTTGGGATTCAATTGATTTTAAGTTCATGTTTTGTTTCTCTTATTTGTAAACCCATGGAAACAGGAATTGGTGATGATTCCTTTTTCCATTCCTGTGGGCGTGAGAGGATAGAATTACTCCGACAGTCCCTTTCCATGGCACTGTCACAGTGAATCCCAGCATCTCCCTTTAATTGTTGCATATCACCATTGATTTCCTTCTTTGTTTAAATGGGGCAAGAGCACATTTTGTAATAGGTAGATCTTTTGGCTTTTTTTGCACAGAATAATAAAGGAGTCCATGTTGAAATGGCCTTAGAACAAAACTTCTTGGCCCATTATTCCTGTTGATTCAGTGATAACTGTATATGTAATTTTATTTTGCCCCATGACATTCTGATAACATAAGTTAATTCAATATTAACATTCTGTTCCTGTTGGGTTCATGTAATAAACAAATTAATCAACCATTCCAAGTATCTTCCTCATCCTATTAACTGCATTTTTAAATTGAAAACATCCTTTTTTTTAAAAAAAAGGCACATATATTTCACTCATTTAAAATATTCAATTTGATTTTTAAATATCTAGATATGTTCTCAAGAAAAATCTACTTGGAATCATATTGAATCTTTTTTAAATGAATAAAATATACATTCATTAAAAAAGAACAATTAGGCAGCGCTCTGAAATTCAGTCTGGTGATACTTTCCTTCAGCTCTCTGTTGGTACCTGATTGATTTTATTGCAGGACGGAGTTACTCCCCGATTTACTAATGAAACCGCTTATTGGGAAGCACGGCACTAAGCCCGGGCTGCGTGATTGTCCTTCTCGCTGGGGATGTGTCCCGCAGCCTCGGGGGAGAGAAGACTCTTAAACTGACCCATTCGAACACTGACATGTCCAAACTGCAGCTTGTAAAATATCTGTGACCTGAGTTTCATTTTGTTAGTGGAAGAGGGGCATGAAATAACCTTTGGTTTATGGCCTCTAAAAAAATTGTTCAAAATGATGTTCTCATCTAAAAGTTAGCTCTTTTACAGATAGTATTGGGATTATAAAAAATGGGAGCACTGTTGCATAAACTTAACTTTCTAATCTAAAAGTTAGCTCTTTTACAAATAGTATTGGGATTATAAAAAATGGGAGCACTGTTGCATAAACTTAAATTTCAGTAAGGAGAGAGCTCACATTGTTTCCAAATGTAAAAACAATATGGAAAAAAGAGACTTTCCTAGCAGTTTTACAACTATTTTTCTCTTCCATTTATCCCTACTGGCTGTTAACATCTTCAGCCGGTTAGTTTCTTCTGAAAAGAAAACCATGTCTTTTTTCCTTAGTCCAGAGGTAGGCCGATCCGAACAGAAAGCTTAGATATTCCCGGCTAGTGCACTTGCTTCCCTTGGGATTCCTAAACCTGCTTCTGTTTATCTTTCCCTCTTCTCCAGTGTGGATTCTTCAAACGCTCTAGGTACGATGAAAGCATTCCCCGATACCAAGCTGTAAAGATCCCGAAAGAAGAGCGAGAGATCAGAGATGAAAAATACAACGATCACCTGGAGAAAAAGCAGTGGATCACAAGGTGGAATGAAAATGAAAGCTACTCCTAGGGGCCAGAGGAGCGTCACAGCCCCCAACTGCTTTTTTTATTCCCCAGCTCAGAAATTCAAATGGTTTAAAAAGCCTGATCCCTGACTATTGAGTTCAGACAGACTGCACCATAGTACGAACCGACAGTTTTAACTGCTGTGGACATTGTTACGTAGCCTACGGCTCCTGTTTTGCACAGCCAAATGTAAGACTGTTGGAATGGATTTTTCTTTAACTGCCTTAATTTAACTTTCCCGGTTGCCTTTGTTTTTGGTGTGGCTGACTCACACGTGCCAGGGAAGGCCCCGCCCAGTTGCGCTCATCTGACATCCTCCCGCTAGTGTAACTGGAAGAAGGCGCCCGTGGTCACCGTGTCAGCAGAGTGACTGGCGGTGCTGCCTCTGCAAGCATTCTTCCCAATAGGACTGGAGAACCTGCAAGTTAACTGTCCCCCATCACAAGACAATGCCGTAGGGGTAGCTGTGTTTCCATTTAAAGTGCTATCTTAAATTAAATGTGCAATAGAAGGTGATGTTGCCATCCTGCTATCTTTTTCCATTTCCCAGATGTGTGAATACCTGTTCACACCAAAGACATCCAGGTTTCCTTCTCCCTTTTCACTAAAACACACCGGTGCAACTGACTTGAATGCTAGTTATCCTTATTTGTATATGGTATTTATTTTTTATTTTTTACAAACCATTTTGTTATTGACTAGCGGGCCAAAGATTCTCCAGTTTGTCCTGCAGGTTGGAGTAAGCAATCAGAATTAGAACATGGGAGGTCATTGGTTTGATCTAAAGTATTTACTGCAAAAAGAAAATAATGCTTTATAAATGTACCAGAGAGTTGTTATAATTTACAGATAAATTATTAAAACATCTTCCTTCATGACATCCCTTACCTTGACCCCCTCCCTCCAAACCCAAAAGGTTGGTTTAAGAAATAGGATTAACCGTTAGAAGTTTAATTCTGAACAGACAATGGATATTTTTGAGTTTAGAGCCCTGTGTGACAAATCTGAATTTTATGCTATAACTTTCAGGAACTCTTGGAAAAAAGGGGGTTTATTTCTTGACCTTTCACTGCTGTATATACAGGACTTGAAAGAAATGGTGAGTGCCTATGGTGGATCCAATCCGATCCAGTGGAAGACTACTGAATACCCGATACCAAAAGTCAGATTAGAACATCATGGCTTTTACGTTTTAAATATTATTGGAATCACGTCATGTGAGTCAGAGTTCTATTTTTTTGCTGTGTTTCCTCCCCTATGTATATTCCCCAAATTATTTTAGGACTACTCTAACAAGAACTTTAACTTGTTTTTTAAGTGTAAAAGTGGAGGAGGGGAGGAAGACATTATTCTTCTATACATTCAATAGAGATTGAATAGATATGAAAGCCGGATTTTAAAAAATGACTGTGCTTCAAGATGTTAAGTTATATGGGGAGCAACAGCAAACCAGGTGCTAATTTGTTTGGATGTAATGTAAGCTGTGTCTCATTCTTTTAAAAACAAAATACAGCTATGTACCATTGTTGCTTTGGAGTTTTAATTTTCTTTTCTTTTTGGAAATCTTATACCCTTAAGATACTAAGAACATTACTCTAGTTGTACTTTAGAAATTTCATTCACAAATATTGTTTTCCAAATGATATTTTGTTTACAAAAATTTCTTGAGAACAGGTCATAACAGTGTTTAAAATCTCAGTTTCTTGCTTAGGTAACTTGGAACCCAATGTACTGGCTTCATAGGTTGCTAAGAAGCTGATTTTTGAACATGTTTATAGGCCCTTGTTATAAAGACGAATGTCCTTGGGAAGGGGTGGGGAGGTGGGTGCAAGGGTGGCTCAACAACAAAGAAACAAGAATGTAGTGGTTTTTACGTTTATAGTTGTGAAAAATGTCATCTCAAGTCAAGTCACTGGTCTATTCTCATTTGATACATTTTTATACTAACTAGCATTGTAAAATTATTTCATGATTAGAAAATACCTGTGGATATTTGTATAAAAGTATGAAATAAATTTTTTTATGAAAGTGTTCATTACTTAGTAACACAACATTGTATATGTGAAACACACTCTAAAATTATAAGTAACCTGAATTGCTTTTTTTATTTCATTAAGCCAAACTAAAGTTTTCGATGTTTTTATTTATTCTGAGTGCCCCATATAATCTCAGATCAGCAGAAGCTATTAGTGTGCCCCCACAAATGCGATTGAGGGTTGTCCCCCCGCTTGGCTTTACTGTTCAGTTGATACTCAAAAGAAAATTATCTTAAAGATGGTTTATTCAAGACATCTACACATTGGGAGATGTCTGTTTGCATTGATTCATCTGCTTCAAAGGTTATGCCTGTGAAGGAAAAGGTATTATTTAGCAATGAGGCTATGGCATGAAAAATCAGAGTTCTTATGGCTAAGTTGCTTTCTTAGAACACCTTTTGGATGTGAGAGCAGTCCAGCTGTGACATGTATCATTAAATTGACCACCAAGGACTGATTTAGCAGAGTTGAATGGTCAGGAAAAATAACTTAACCGAAGGATTTTGTTTAGATTGAAGTGGTTTTATGAAACTTCTCTAGCTGGGTTATCACAATTTAATGAATAAAAATAAAGCATATAGCCCTGGCCAGTGGCTGGTGTGGCCCAGTTGGTTGGGCATCATCCTGTGCACTGAAAGGTTGCCAGTTTGGTTCCCAGTCAGGGCACATGCCCAGGTGGTGGGTCTGATCCATGCATGGGTTGTGGGCTCGGTCCCTGATAGGGGGTGTACATGGATGCTCTCACATCCATGTTTCTCTCCCTCTCCCTTCCTCTCTCTAAAAATCAATTTAATTTTTTTTTTAAAAAGAGCCCTCAAACAATGCTGATTTACACAATTAAAAAAATCATTAAAAAAATAAAGCATGTAATAGTGCCCAGACAATACAGCATGCCCTACCTATCCTGAATAAATTTCCAATCTAAAATGTGTTACCTGTCCAGTATATTAGGTAATAGTTTTCCATTATACTTAGTATTATACAGTAAATTTTAGCCTTCTTAATTCTTTGAAGATCAAACAGGTGTTACCAACCAAAGAAATGTGTGATTTGTACTTTTTAATCAAGGGCCAGAGGCTCTGAACCTTTTTTTAGCCACAGTCCCATGGATATATCCAGATTAAATCTCTGTAATAATGTGTAATCACTATAACCATTAAGGATGTCCGTAGCTGTGGTCTGGCTAGGGCTCTGGCATAAATGACCCGGGCTGGAGGTCATGGCAGTGCTGTATATGGCTCCTGTGACTCCACCTCTTTCTCTCCCTCTTGGATGGGAGCATACAGGAATGCCTAGCCGTGGTAATGGTATTACTAGTATAGGGCTATCCTTGGGTCCATTTGCAAACATTGACACTTTGTTGGTTGCAGAGCACTTCCTATTATCTCATATATGAGTCATGCACAGTCATGGCTTATGTTGTGTCCTTGTGGTTGAGAATATTCTAGAATGTAGGGTAGATGTAGGTGGGGAATGCTTTTAATTGTTCAGACTTGGAAAGTAAGCATAAAATTGAACATTCTATCCTAAATGAAAACATCTTAATGAGAAACTGATCTCTAGTACACAACCCACAAAAAGACAACGTGGGAAGACAGACTAGGGTTGTTAGGTTGTTTTGTTTTAAAGGAGGGAAAGAAGGAAATGCTGTAGGTGGCTGGGTTCCACATACAGACGTCCTCAGGGCTGAGAAAACTGAATGTGGAAAAGTTATTTGATCAGCTTGTAGCATAAAGTAAATGATTAAAGGCAGTTCCTCGAATCAAAGGAGAGGGTCCAACTGAGGGGAAGGCAAGGTTCAATGAGATGAAGAAAGTGAACTTGAGAATGATTTCAAAGGAGTGGCTATTGCAAAGAAGCTAGTAGGCGTCTGTTCTGGGAGTTAGTGATGCTTAAATGGCAAGTGAGTATTTCTTGTTCCTCAAAAAACAGGTTTTGTTAACTCAGAAAGACATCCTATCCAGCTGTTAGGATATGTGAGAGTGGTGTGTACTCGTGGCTGGAGCCAGAGGTGTTGCCAACAGACCCATCTAGGAGGAAAGTTATAAAGGGAATTCAAGATTACATCCTCTGACGAAGGATAAGTGAATTGCAAACACAAATCTGAGTAAGAAAACTGTTCCAGCACAGTGCAGGGGTGGGCAGGTGCCCACAAAGGGCAAGCTAACCAGGTAATGGTTGATTACACTGGAGTGAAGGAGTCAGGTGCAATTTTTGCAGCAGTCAGCAAGTTTAAATGCCTCAGTCTTCTCTTCGCCTTTGCCCTGGAGCCATTCCTCAGTCAGGCTGCCTGTGCCAGGGTCACTAAAATGGGCAGAGGCAGACCTGTTGGAGGTCGGATAAAACTTCTCGCACACTGTTCTGGCACATCCACAGAAAATCTGAAATTCCAGGGACAGGGAGTGCTGCTTTCATTTTCTCATGGACCAGCAGATAAATATTTAATTCCTCAATAACCAGCAGATTTGAGTTTTCTGTGAAGACCCTGTCATTGTGAGATGGAGATAGACATGGTTCAATCATTTTCCCTCCAATGTCCAAGGATGTTATTCGGCTCTGGGGATACACATACAAATAAGACACTGGCTCTGACCTTTTAGAGCAGTGGTTCTCAACCTTGGCTGCACATTAGAATCACCTGGGAATCTTTTTAAAATCCTAATTTCTGGGCCTCGTCCTCCGGAAATCAGGATTTTAAAAAGATTCCCAGGTGATTCTAATGTGCAGCCAAGGTTGAGAACCACTGTTTTTAGAGGAAGCTCATATTTAAAACAACAGATGATACTGACAAACAGGTGGATGCAATTTATGTAAGTAGCAGAATTCAAAATCGTGTACTATGATGTCCATTGTTGACAGATAAGGTCAGTACCTGATCTTACATGGGTGGAACTTGTCTTTGGAACCAACACCAATCCCAGAAAAATTGGAGTAGTCATTCTGAACCTGCTCTGCACACCTCAAGAACATTTTTGAAAATCCCAGTGCCCAGACTACATGTCTGACTGAATATCAGAACCTCTGAGGGTGGGACCCAGGTATCAGTGCTGTTTAAGGCTCCCCAAGTGACTCTTAAACTACAGCCAAGTTTGAGAACTGCTTCAGTGGTGTCAGATGGCCTGAATATTTATCGAAAGGGCTCTGCCCACTGTGTGGGAGCGCCCCATTTCTGCTTGCGGTGCCTCTACACTAGTAAGGAGCTGAGAAGGTAGAGGTATATTTGCCATAAGGCTCAAGTCATGCTACCTGGATATAAATTAGCTTCCCCTCTTGGAATATAATCCTGGTGAGTGACTGACACATCGACCCCAGTTTCCTCCATAAAATAGGATTAATAATAGTACCCATCTCATAGGTCCTTGGAGTAAATGAGATCTGGAAGTGTTCATTAAATGTTAGCTATTTTTTAAAAATACGTTTTTACTGATTTTAGAGAGGAAGGGAGAGGGAGTGAGATAGAAACATCAATGATCGGCTGCCTCCTGCATGCCCTCAACCCAAAAGTGCTCTGACTGGGAATTGAACCATGACCTCCTGGTTCATAGGTTGATGCTCAACCATTAAGCCACACCGACCAGGCTAAATGTTAGCTGTTTTTATAGTCTAGTTTTACTTCCTCATTTCACAGATGGGTAAACACAGTTTAAGTTGTCACTGGAACCTTCTGTCTCCTCACTCTTCAAAGTCTATCATGACTTATCAGAGGGTGTGAGAGCTACGATCTGCAAGACTAACTGCCCTTAACTAACTAAACAAACAAAAAAGAGATCCTAACTCTTAAATTTAAACTTCTTATCAATATAGGTCATTTTGTACAAGACTGGCCTTTTTTTCTGTGTTTAAACTCCATCGCAGTACTTACTACAGGGACCATCTGCAGGTTTCGGTTGGGGTCAGAGCACACAGAGTCAGTGTATAGGCATCTTGAGGTTGCTATGTACTGATTCTTGATTTAAAAGGAAAAGAAATGTAAGTATATAAAGCAGATTATTTTTTTTTGAACCCTTTCTCATTCTTTACACACACGATAAAGTCTCCAGACTCCTTCAGTGGGAGGGCAGCCTGCAGTTTCGTCACTTACATCTTTGCTGCTGTGCAGAGGAGGGAATGCTGCTCACAGAGCCCATCCTGTGCTTGAGTTACATCATGTGTGTGAGACCAAAGTTGTCATTGGAAGAGCAGAGTACGAAACCTCCCATTTCTCTTCAACAAAACTCCCTTTTTTTGTTAAAGGCAAAAAAAAAAAAAAAAAAAAAAAGCATTTCCCCTAAGATTGGTGAGCTGTCTGATTCCAGGTGTCCTCAAATTGCTGCTGGAGCTGCAGTTCTAGGGCATTTACCTAACCGAGGAAGCCAGCGCTGGTTAGGAAGTCAGAATCAGCAGAGTGGTTGAGAGCAGTCCTCCTCACACTTTAACATGCCTATGAGTCACCTGGGATCTCGTTAAGATGCAGGTTTTGATTCAGGAAGTCTGGGATACAGCCTGAGAGTCTACATTTCCAACAAGCTCCAGGTGCTGTGATGTTGCTGGTCCATGGATTACGTTTTAGGTAGCAAGGATCTTTGGAGTCAGTTTTGTTCAAGTCCCTGCTCTGCCACTTGCAACTTGGTTGACCTTAGGCAAGTTTACCAACCCTTCATTGTTTAACTTTCTCATCTGTAAAGTGGTACAGGGATAACTAGGATTATAACCTAGGTTTCCAGCCAAAAGATACCATCTTCTCCTTTCTCTAGAACTTCCAATCCCCTAACATCCTCAAACATAATAAAGAGCAACCAGGGCACATTTTAGTTTTTCTTATATCTGAGCATATAGCTTGTACTGTCTTGCCAGGATAGTCTTAGACTACTGTCGTGGGCCATGCTTTCAAGATACCTGCCCTGCTGGAAACAAAAACCGCATTATAGTGAACAACAGAATGGGGAACAATATGCCAGTTCTAGTAAGTGACTCACAGATGTTGGTTGGTCATAGTCACGTCTCTAAATCAGCAACAAAACAAAAAGATTGAGATAAGGTTCAGGCTTACTTTAAGAGTGAAGTGTTTGCAATCTGACATTTCTCAGGTATCAACTATCCAGTTTTTCTTTGCCAGTTCCCATCACAAGCAATCCAGATACTCCTCCCAGCCCTACCTAGTTTGGCTCAGTGGATAGATCGTTGGCCTGTCGACTGAAGGGCTCCAGGTTCGATTCCGGTCAAGGGCATGTGTACATCAGTTACAGGCTCCTCCCTGGCCCAATAAGTCTTGCACCCACCTGACTCCATACATAGTTATTACAATATTATTGATTATATTCTCTGAACTGTACTTTACATGTCTGTGACTATTTTGTAACTGCCAATTTATATTTCTTTTTTTTTAAATTTTTTTTGCCACCATTTATTTATTTATTTATTTGTATTGTTTTATTGCTTAAAGTATTACAAAGAGTATTACCTATGTCTTTTTTCCCCACCCTTGACAATCCCCTGGCCTCCCCTACCCCCCAGTGTCTTATGTCCATTGGTTATGCTTATATGCATGCATATAAGTCCTTCAGTTGATCTCTTACCCCTGAGTGAGATCATGTGGTATTTTTCCTTCATTGACTGGCTTATTTCACTTAGCATAATGCTCTCCAGCTCCATCCATGCCGTTGCAAATTGTAAGAGTTCCTTCTTTTTTACAGCAGCATAGTATTCCATCGTGTAGATGTACCACAGTTTTCTAATCCATTCATCTACTGATGGGCACTTAGGCTGTTTCCAGATCTTAGCTATGGTGAATTGTGCTGCTATGAACATATGGGTGCACATATCCTTTCTGATTGGTGTTTCTGGTTTCTTGGGATATATTCCTAGAAGTGGGATCACAGGGTCAAATGGGAGTTCCATTTCCAGCTTTTTGAGGAAACTCCATACTGTCTTCCATAGTGGCTGCACCAGTCTGCATTCCCACCAGCAGTGCACGAGTGTTCCTTTTTCTCCACATCCTCTCCAGCACTTGTCGTTTGTTGATTTGTTGATGATAGCCATTCTGACAGGTGTGAGATGGTACCTCATTGTTGTTTTGATTTGCATCTCTCGGATGATTAGTGACTTTGAGCATGTTTTCATATGTCTCTTGGCTTTCTGAATGTCCTCTTTTGAAAGGTGTCTATTTAGATCCTTTGCCCATTTTTTGATTGGATTGTTTATCTTCTTTTTGTTAAGTTGTATGAGTTCCCTATAAATTTTGGAGATTAGGCCCTTATCAGATATGACGTTGGCAAATATGTTTTCCCACGCAGTGGGCTTTCTTGTTGTTTTGTTGATGGTTTCTTTTGCTGTGCAGAAGCTTTTTATTTTGATGTAGTCCCATTTGTTTCAATTTATATTTCTTAATCCCTTCATCTTTTTCATCCCACCCCCCTCCTATCTGGCAATCATCAGCTTGTTCTCTGTATCTGAGTTTGTTTTTGTTTTGTTTGTTCATTTATTTTGTTTTTTTACATTCCACATATAAGTGAAATCATATGGTATTTGTCTTTTTCTATCTGACTTATTTCACTTAGCATAATACTCTCTAGGTTCATCCATGTTGTCATAAATGGTAAGATTTCTTTTTTATGGTCAAGCAATATTCCATTGTATGTATGTATCACATCCTTATCCATTCGTCTTTTGATTAGAGCATTTAATCCATTTATATTTAAACTAATCATTGATATGATATTTTTATTGTTTTTGTAGTTCTTCTCTGTTCCTTTCTTCTCCTGTTCTCTTCTCTTATATGTTGATGATTTTCTATACTGTTATGTTTGTAATCTGTTCTCTTTATTTCTTGTCTCTTGTAGATTTTTGGTATGTGGTTACCATGTGCTTCATATATACCAAGCTATGCTTATTGCAGTCTATTTTAAATTAATGGTTGCTTAAGTTTGAACACATTCTAAAATCGCTATTATTTTTAACTTACACCCTCCACATTTATGTTTTTGTCATTATTTTTTACTTCTCACCTTTCCCCTTAGCTTCAGCTGTATGCTGCCTCCTGCTAAACAAATATTGCAAATTATGTGAGGATTTTCCCAATTTCCTGCCTAGATTTGGGCCCTGGTCTCATTTACTTTAACACACATGTTCTCGCCACTAGGCTACACAGCCTCAGCATTCTCCTCTGTAAAAACGATTTCACTGGTTAGTGCCTGTCCCACAGAAGGTGTTCAATAAGAGAAATAGCCCTAATCATTGGAGAGAGTGAGCGACTTAGTGAAGATTACATAGTTAGAAAGTGGAGGAGCCTTGATTCCAGCTCAACTCTGCCCACATCAATTCCACACATTTCTTAAACATGCTGATAAAGCCTTCTAATCAGATGCATGTCCCTCCTCCCATCTAAGGCAACCCTTCCAGTCCCTTAAGACTTTCCTCAGGCATTTAACCTCTCCCTCTTCATTACAGCCAGTTGGCTTCATGGATCCCTCACTTCCCACATTTAGACTACTCAGACTTTTCCACTGTCAAATCCATAAATAAACCCATTCAGCTCCATAACCCTTTCCAAGGACTATTTACAGTTGTCATCTTTACTTCCTCATCACTGTGCTCATGGAATCACGTATTCCAAAGCCACTAACAGCCGTTCGATTGTTAAGTCTAAACTCTAAAGCTTTCTTTTCCGGATTCATTTTATGTCACTGCTAAAGCATATGTAACAGTATCAAATGCCCCCTCATTTTTGAAAGCCCTCCTTCCTTGGCTTCTATGATTGGTCATTCCTTAAATATTGTTGCTGTGGGGGCTTGTCTCTGGCTTCTTACCCTCCACAGGTGATCTCAACTCCATGTGCTTCATATATACCAAGCTATGCTTATTGCAGTCTATTTTAAATTAATGGTTGCTTAAGTTTGAACACATTCTAAAATCGCTATTATTTTTAACTTACCACCCTCCACTTTATGTTTTTGTCATTATTTTTTACTTCTTTTATGTATAGTGTGAGTGTCTTCTGATGATCAGAGAAGAGTTAACTGGTGGTGGCCTCTTGATTCCTTTGGATTGCAGCTAACAAGTATTTTCCTTCACCTCAATTTCCAGTGACTGCCTCAGAGCTCCCTGGGTGGGTCATTATTCTAGAAGTTAGAGCACACTTCAGTCTATTTTGAATACTTGTAATCCCCTGAATTAAATCCCTTCATGCCAATAATATCTAGAGTGGTCTCTATTTTGAGCATTGAAACCTGACTAATATAGCCACTTACTCAAAGAAAATGCTAAAAGATCTAGGAGATTAGAAGAGAAAACCGGTAGAGTGGAGGTAGCTGTCTTCTTCCAGCTAATGCTGGATCCAGAACACTTTTATTGCTTTTAAGATCAACTTGACTCTCAAGATACATGTCCAATAAATTCACATAAAGGTGAATCTTGTTTCTTCTTTTTTCTAAATCTCCAAGAGAGGGTGGAAACATGTAAGTACATTACCTGACTCAAAAAGGAAACAATCAGGAAATAAAAATAGAGGGAAATGTGAAAAGTCACCAAGTTTGAGAAAATACCATATTTCATAGACTGAATGTGTTAATTAAATCCCAGTAATGGTGAATTGTGCTGCTATGAACATATGGGTGCACAAGAGGTCTCATTCCTAAGGTTTTGCCCACCTAGGACTACTGAAGTCGGCGGCTACTCTGCTATCTCTGTCATTTTGAGGAAAGAGTCAGCCTTGTGAAGCCAACACTAAGGACAGCAGAACTGAAATATGGGGAGGAAAAGAGAGGAGGAGGAGGAGGGCAAGAGGCACTCTGATGCTTTGTATCCACACTGTACCTGAAGAATTTTTCTGGGACATGAGACAAAATAGTCTCTTTATTTAAGGAGGTTTGAAATGGGTTTTCTATACTTGAGTCTGCAAGAGTCCTGCCTAATATAAAGTAAAATCTGTCAACCCCATCTCATCTCTGAAAGGATTGTCAAGAGAAGACACATAATTGGCTTTATGAACTTCCTTTTGTTAGATGGTTTTCCTATGGGTTTCCCCCACCTTTCTCCTTAGCTTCAGCTGTATGCTGCCTTCTGCTAAGCAAATATTGCAAATTATGTGAGGATTTTCCAAATTTCCTGCCTAGATTTGGGCCCTGGTCTCATTTACTTTAACACACATGTTCTCTCCACTTGGCTACACAGCCTCAGCATTCTCCTCTGGAAAAATGATTTCACTGGTTAGTGCCTGTCCCACAGAAGGTGTTCAATAAGAGAAATAGCCCTAATCATTGGAGAGAGTGAGCGACTTAGTGAATATTACATAGTTAGAAAGTGGAGGAGCCTTGATTCCAGCTCAACTCTGCCCACATCAATTCCACACATTTCTTAAACATGCTGATAAAGCCTTCTAATCAGATGCATGTCCCTCCTCCCATCTAAGGCAACCCTTCCAGTCCCTTAAGACTTTCCTCAGGCATTTAACCTCTCCCTCTTCATTACAGCCAGTTGGCTTCATGGATCCCTCACTTCCCACATTTAGACTACTCAGACTTTTCCACTGTCAAATCCATAAATAAACCCATTCAGCTCCATAACCCTTTCCAAGGACTATTTACAGTTGTCATCTTTACTTCCTCATCACTGTGCTCATGGAATCACGTATTCCAAAGCCACTAACAGCCGTTCGATTGTTAAGTCTAAACTCTAAAGCTTTCTTTTCCGGATTCATTTTATGTCACTGCTAAAGCATTTGTAACAGTATCAAATGCCCCCTCATTTTTGAAAAACCTCCTTCCTTGGCTTCTATGATTGGTCATTCCTTAAATATTGTTGCTGTGGGGGCTTGTCTCTGGCTTCTTACCCTCCACAGGTGATCTCAACTCCAATTACCATTTGCATTAGAGACAGTGAGCTGCCTCTCTCTATCTCTCCTCTCGCTCTCTCTCTAAAAAAAAATTAACTCGTTATTGTTGAACATTTTCTCTTTTTACCATGATAATACAAATGTTAGCTGGACAAATAAACTACTCAGTATAAAACCCCTCTTTCTACTTTTGTTTCACCTTGGCATAGCCATTTGGCATTAGTTCTATGGAAATGTTTGGAAACAGGCAAAGGGAAGTCAGATGTTATAGGCTGCAGTGCTGTGTTCCTTGTTATGCTATGCAAAACATCTAATAACACTATCCTCTGTGATACCTTGGAAGGTGACTGTAATCCAGCCAAGGAGAAAGGGTAGAAAAAGACTCAGGTACTGATGTGTGTTGACTGCTTCTTGCTGCTTTTAGCACAGTCCTATGAAGGCGATGAGCTCAGGCAGGAGGTATCCATTTGGAGGCAAAGATGGAAGGGAACAGAGCTCTGAAAAGGGGGATGTTTTCTACTTGCTACCTAAAATCTTAACCCAACAACCTAATGTGGATCTTATAGGGTTAAACAAAGCCATGGAGCCTAGCCCTGGCCGGTGTTCTCAGTGGTTAGAGCATCAGCCCACCCACCAAAGAGTCTCGGTTTCAATTCCCAGTCAAGGGTGTGTAGTAGGTTCAGGGCCCGTGTGGGAGGCAACCAAACCATGTGTGTCTCTCACATCAATCTGTCTCTCTCCCCACCTCCACTCTCTCTTAAACACACACAACACAATGGAAAATATAGCCTTGGGTGGGGATTAACAACAACAAAAAGCCATGGAGCCTCTGTACTCCAGATAGGAACAGTGAAACCATACTCATCACATCTAATACACGTATCAATTCTAAGACGCAGCATTTTTTATGAACTAGTAAGAAATAAAAATTTCCAATGACATAATGCTTTCTTATTCCTTAGAATTTTATTTTGTTAAGAGCTCATAGATATGTTTACACAGATTTTAATGATATGATTCCTTGTGCATATTGTTCGGGCCCAAGACAGGTCCTCTAAAATGTCCCACACTGGCATATTGATTACTGTTGTTAAAGGAAAAACCACAAGCCCAAAGGGCATCACTTGTGCTAGAGCCATGATACCAAACCTAGATTTAACACCTGACTTAACTGCAGTTTCAACCTTTACCAGAAATGTAATCTTAAATCCCAGTCTGGAATTTTCTGGTCAACACCAATGAGATAACGGTGGTTGGCAAACTCATTAGTCAACAGCCAAATATCAACAGTACAACAATTGAAATTTCTTTTGAGAGCCAAATTTTTTAAACTATATAGGTAGGTACACTGTTATTAACTTAATTAGGGTACTCCTAAGGCTTAGGAAGAGCCACACTCAAGGGGCCAAAGAGCCGCAGTTTGCCGACCTCGGAGATAACCTATCATGTGGGCTGTCTCTATTCCCCATAGAAAGAAGAGGCAATATGCATGATAAAAAAACAAAACAAAACAAAAACCCTTGTCATTCCCTTCCTCCAACAGAAGATGTCCTGGTCTAAAAATAGTCATAGAGATAATTCTGAGAAATGTGTCATCAAGAGATTTCATTGTTGTGCAAACATCATTGGATGCACGTACACAAACCGAGATGGTCTAGCCTATTGCTTTTAGGCTACAAAACCTGTATAGCATGTTACTGTACAAAACAACACGAGATTACATCAAGCCCAAGATAAAATGATGCCATCAAGAGATGCAGTAAACATGAGATGTATGAGGTTGTGCAGGTAGAACATGGCATACTGTTTTACAGCAAACTTTTTTTCCTAAATAGAAGAGTGGACTCTAATGATAAAAAGTTTAGTATAGCCCGGCCGGTGTGGCCCAGCGGTTGAGCGTGACCTATGAACGAGGAGGTCGCAGTTCGATTCCCAGTCAGAGCACATGCCCAGGTTGCGGGCTCAAGCCCCAGTGGGGGGCATGCAGAAGGCAGCCAATCAATGATTCTCCCTCATCATTGATGTTTCTATCTGTCTATCCCTCTCCCTTCTTCTCTGAAATCAATAAAAATATATATTTTTTAAAAGTTTAGTATAACAAATATATAAACCAGTAACAGTTACTTATTATCATCAAATATTAGGCACTGTCCGTAATTGTATGTGTTAGACTTTTATATGACTGGAAGTGCAGCAGGTTTATTTATACCAGCATCACACAAGTATGTGAACAGTGTATTGCTCTAGTCTATGACGTTACTAGGTATTAGGCAATAGGAATTTTTCAGCTCCATTATAGTCTTATGGGAGCATTGCTGTATGTGCTGGCCGTTGACTGAAACATCCTTCTGCAGTGCATGACTGTAATCCTTTCTTTTGCTAACTCCCTTGCCACACACTAGTCTTCCTCTGAAAACCTTCATTTATTACCCTTTGGAGCACCCTTCTTGTGCTAGGCGGGATGTTGCCTGATTCAGGAATCACTTGACATAGCTAATTAGATCTTCACATTTACTCACTTGAATGTTGTTCTTTAACATGCTGAATTATGAGTGAATGAAGGCCAACAAGTTTAGGGATTTTTTTGTTTTGTTTTGTTCTTTAGAAGAGGGATGGTTGGTTTTCTGAGGATCATGGTGGGAAGGGTCACACTGACACCTTTTCTCTTAGGGCCTCTGAAGGTGCTAATCTGAGGGGCCTTTGCTGACCTCCTCAGTAAAGTAGCTTCCATACCGCGCCCACTCCCCCCCCCACTCCCCCACACACAGAGAGCTATTGCTCTGTCTTATTATCTTTATAGCTTAGCACTCTCTGACATAATCTACATATTTATTTATTACTTGTTTCTTCCCCTCAGAAGCACCAGGAGAGCAGGGACCTGGAAATCGTGCTCCAAATGCTACGTCCAGCACATAGCATTTCTAAAGAGACACTTAACGAATGAATGAACCCCAGAAGGGGCAGCTAGGAACTCAAGAACAAATGACAGGAAGAAATAAAGGGAAATTGAAGATGAAATAGACATGTGCACCTCCCCACCCAACAAACTTTTAAACAGGGGACTTGAACTCTGCTGATGGGATGTATAATTCAGAGTCAGCAGGGGACTCCTGGATCCTCAGAGACCTAGGCTCAGATCACCAATTCCAGTTTGTCTGAGTTCTTCCTGTCCCAGACTGTATACTGAGGGGTTTGCACCTTCAGCACTGACCTAGGCTCTTCTCTTACAACTGCTGTCCCCACTGGCTACCATTCTCCAAAAGAATGCAAAATCCATTCTTTTCACCAACTTGCACAAAGGCATAAAAGGTCCAGTTTCAACAGTCTTTTCCTTCTTTTTGGTAAACTTTTACTGAAGGTTACAGGGAGTGTCTCATTGTGAAACAGCCTTGGAAATCTTCCGCCACCTCCCCTGTCCCTTTGCTCTAAAGTGAGTTCCTCCCGGGCTTCCTGCACAGCTGTTCCTTGAGCTCTCCCAGGGGATTGGGTCTCTCATCCCCAGCAGCATGTCAAAGTGCAGTACTTACTCCAGATAAATACGGTTTTCCCTAGGACAAATCCTGGTGAACAGGATGGCCTCCACATCATTGCACTAGTAATAACTCAAATGGCAGGGCTCCTTAAAGAAAGAAGGCAAATGTATGCAGGGGGAAATGTTGCTTCCGTGGAATACAGTGCATTGTTTTTGTTTGTGTGTGGGTTTTCACAGGCTTGTAGTGGCTCATCCCCTCTAGGCAATCCATGGTTCCTCAGGCTAGATTGACAGGCATCTTCCCTATGTCATCCGACTTTACTGGACATGCATCTATCTCTTTGTTGGGTTGGTCTCTTCCCCCAGTTATCTGTGGAAATGAGCCGGTGGTTTCCTGGTCACGCTGCCCAAATGGCAATGCTTATAATGTCTGGCCTCCCATTTCCTATTATTAATAACTAGCTAATTACAATGGTAAAAAAGGAACTATTTACAGAGGTGTGGGCAGAGGTAAGCAGCAGGGATGGTGAAGCACCCACCCCAAAAACAACAGAGGGAAAGTGATACCACATGTAAGGCTCCCTGGTCAGAGGACGGGAGCTGTGGCCACACGTAAGAGGGACACAAATCATGGCCTGGCAAGAAGGGAGCAGTGGAATAGAAATCATGACTTTCTTCTCCTTTTGTCCTCTAGTTATAGAACAGAAAGTTAGTTCACCTGGCACTAGCAGAGTCAAACACTAAACACAGAATTGCAGTGGAGAAATACTGGCTATTTTATTATAAATGGCGCCATCCAGGAGAACGGGAAGCTAATGCTAAAAAGCCCGGATTCCCCCATGGTATGCAGGTTAAAGATTATATAGGGCAAGATCACAAGACTCCAGGGGATTCGGGGTTGTGCTGGGAGCTGACTGGTCAGAGGTGAGGTAATGAATTATTTCTTTAGGTCTTGAAGACAGCTCTGAGGTCTTTTCCAGCGGCCCTCTGGTTTCATGGGAAAATAGGCAGGGGGTCATTCCAATTAAGGCTCAGAAACTGAAACACAACTTACGTCAAGACTAGTTCTCTGAAGGGGTGGGGGGTGAGGGAGAGAGAGAAAAGAGAGAGAGAGAGATGATTTCTAGAGCTATGATTTAAAACTAAATTTAATCAAAGTCATAAGGACCCTTGGTTTCACTCTGAGCCCTATGCAGCCAGAAGATAGTGGAGTCAGGGTGACACAGCTAGCTTGTTTTCCATTGTTTTTTCTACTCTTCAGTCAAATCAGCCCAACAAAGATGATAAATTCCCAGTGAATAGGAGGATCTGTCCCATGTATCCTACATAATAAAAGCCTAATGTGCAAATTGTCCCCATGGACTGGGAGTTCGACTGGGAGTTCGACCAGGGGGTGGGGCCAGCTGGCTAACCGAGGGAAGGGAGGCCTGGGAGGCCTCAGAGGTCCCGGATGGCAGCCATCAGCTGCTTGAGACCCTACCCGTGCATGAATTTCTTGCACTGAGCCTCTAGTGCAGTGGTTCTCAACCTTCCTAATGCCGCGACCCTTTAATACAGTTCCTCATGTTGTGGTGAACCCCAATTTCATTGTTACAAATTGAACATAATTAAAGCATAGTGATTAATCACAAAAACAATATGTAATTATATATGTGTTTTCCAATGGTGTTAGGTGACCCCTGTGAAAGGGTCGTTCGACCCCCAAAGGGGTCGCGACCCACAGGTTGAGAACCACTGCTCTAGTGTTACATATAAAGATTTTTATTGTCTTAACATGTACTTTATAGCTACATAATTAAATATAGATATAATATAGCCCTCTAGTAAAGATAATATAAAAGAGATATCCTCCCAAAAAAGGAGATATCACCCTTGGATTACTTTCTCTACGTCTCTTACAGTGTTATGCCCATAGTGCTCCCTGTAAGATACTTTTACAGAAGTCTTAACAGCCGCCATGTTAACAGACATCTGAAAAAAATCCAATGTTCTCTCCAGCTTCTGGGCCCTAAGGCTTTGATCAAAAAGAAAAAGATTGATGCCATATTATATATGTTCTCATATACCCATTCTCTGTATATTGGGTGGGAATTTGTGAATATATTCTGGAGAAAAAGAAATACATGTTATAAAACAGTTGGACTGGCTTCTAGAAGAATAACCTTCTAAAATAAATTTCAAGGTTTCTGTTGGGCTTTTGTGCTTCCACACAAGTTAATGTTTAGCTGAGCACCTGGACATGTTCAGGTGGAAAGCAAATAAGGTTGCTCAGAGTTGTACACAGAGGTTGAGGGAGTTGAATATTACTATGCATCATGGTGTGAGAAGCATTTGGAGCTCAAGGGAGTGGTCTGGAAGGAAGAAAAGAAGAAAAGAGGAAGGCAACATGAAGGAAGGCTGGAATAGAGTTGTGGAAATGGCTGAGGGACAAATTTAAGGATGTCTAATATTCAATTTCACATTGTTTCCTCCCAAACCTTTGGTAAAGTTGGCTTCAGGCCAAACGTGTGAGTGGTTCTGACAAGGAAATCCTAACAAGGAAATAATTTTAAAAACACACAGCATCCTGGCTGGTGTGACTCAGTAGGTTGAGCATCGTCCCATGTACTTAGAGGTGGCCAGTGCGATTTCCAGTCAGGGCACATGACCAGGTTACAGGCTCAAACCCCAGTAGGAAGCATAAAGGAGGCAGCCAATCGATGTTTCTCTCTCTCCATCTCCCTTCCTCTCTCTACAAATCAATAAAAATATATTTTAAAAAACACAGCAATAATGATAAAAAATAGATGCCCTTTAGTGAGCAGCTCTAGAATGTCCTGGGCATTGTGCTGTACCATCTACGTCACAGTCACCCGGTGACTCAGGTAGTATCCTCCCTCTTTATTTTTTATTTATTTTGTTAACCCTCATCCAAGAATATTTTTCCCCATTGATTTTTAGAGAGAGTGGAAGGGGGAGGGAGGATGGGAGAAGGAGAGAGAGAGAGAGAGAGAGACCGAGAGATTGGTTGACCCCTGCAGGCATCTGCAGGCATCCCATCTGGGGCCAGGGATAGAACCTGTGACCCTTTGGTACGCAGGCTGATGCTCTAACCACTGAGAACACCGGCCAGGGCTAGTCTGCCTTTTTAGGTAAGGAGACTGAGGCTCAAAGAGGCTAAGTAACACATTCAAGGTCACACAGCCATTACATGGCAGGGCCAGGACCTAAAATCAGAACCCAAGTTCTTTTCGTTGTACTATATTGCTTCCCCATAATCCCCTCTGCACTGTCCTTATAAAACTGTTGTCTAGAGGCTAATGGTCATTGACAAGAACCCCGTCTTTCTCTAAAGCTGCCCATTCCACAGTCCATTGATTGTAACCATTGAACGTTTTTTCATGTGAGTCAGATCTCTTTCTAAGTTTCCACCCACAAGTTCTCTATCTGCTGTCTGAACCACTAAGAATGAATTTAATCATTCTTTCACAGAGCAGGCGCTCTAATATTGGAAGATATGGTATAAAATTGTACCAGGTTGGTCCCTATCATACGTGTTTGTAAGAGCAGGAATATCCGAAAGGGAGCCTATTTGAATTGCATGCGGCTTTATTCCCAACTATGTAGATAGAACATTACTTAGTAATTACTTAGCACATTAGTAGGCCTTCAACAAATATTCATAGAATGGATGAAAGCCGGCCAGAGGGGGGAGGTACAGAATATGGTTAGTGAGGCAGCAAACATATAAACGAGATAATTCCTCCTCCCTCATTACTTTCTCTACATATCATAGTCTTATGTTCATACTGCTTCCTCTAAGGTATTTTTATCAAAGTCTTAACTACCATGTTAACAGAAATCTGAAAAAGAAAAAATGGTTAGAGGCACCACTTTCAGAGAGTATGTTAGGTTCTGCTTCCACCCCATCCCCTCAACTATCTACCCTTGTTTCCAGGTGGTCAATATTCTTCAAGCTAAACTTGTGGGTCTAATACACCCTAAAAAGAGACTCTCATCTCATTCTTTAGACGTAGTTTCTACAACTGAAGATCTGACCACCAAAGAGGAATGAATTGCTATTCTATGCCATAAATATAGACTATATATCTGTCTCGGCAGCCATTCCAGAACAACTGCTCTGTCTTACTCCTCGAACCTTTGGAATGTTTGAACTGGGCAAAATAACCTTTAAAGTGGGCCAGAGCAGCTCTGTTCTCCAAACAACTGTTTGTAAAGCTAACAGGAAAACAGGCTTCCAGCAAGGACTGATCATTAAAGCCATTCTTTATAATCAGTAAAGAGCCATGCATATCTGAAAAATGACTTCGCTTTATTAGTACCAATAGAAATTCCTTTTACCCATGTATTTCCCCTTCTTTTTCTCATAAAACCCTCTGCCTTCACTCCATAATCAGAATGCTGTTTGGGTTTCTGCTGGAATCAGTGCTTCCAGAATATTTATTTTGTGTGTGATCTCAAATGCTTGCTGCCTCTCACTTTGGATTTTTATTTTCATATATATATAAATTGATACATTTCACACCCATGGAGAAGTAATTTTGTTGCATCTAAGACATACCATAAAGCACTGGGGGTGGATAAATGGGGAAGCAGCAGTGGAGAGAAGGGACAGCAGTGTTTTTCACTGTATCCTTTGCAGCTCTGTCTACGCGATTAAACCAACATTAGAAACTGTCCAGTGTTATATTCACTCTTTAGAAATCTGGAAAAGGTGGTGACCCTCAGATGACAGGTACAGAGATGGGCAGCTGAGTGCAGGGGGTTACATGCACTGGGAATGCCCGCAGGTACTGCTCCAGGTGGCCTGCCAGTGATGTTCTCGTGGGGCTGCTGTCACTGATGTGTTGAGGGCCACACTCCCCAGGGCTCACCGTTCGTCTGCATGTGCCCCTGCTCGGCCAGCGCGGCTCCTGAGCTCTCTGGGTGTTTCCCCTCCGGTAAAGGTGGGGCTGGCATCGCAGATTGAGTGCAGGGGCCTTTTACATGCACTGCCGACTGTGCCGGGAATGCCCGCAGGTACTGCTCCAGATGACCTGCCAGTGATGTTCTCGTGGGGCTGCTGTCACTGATGTGTTGAGGGCCACACTTCCCAGGGCTCACCGTTCGTCTGCATGTGCCCTGCTCGGCCAGAGCGGCTCCTGAGCTCTCTGGGTCTGTTTCCCCTCCGGTAAAGGTGGGGCTGGCATCGCAGAGGAGGCTTTCTGGACCCCGCTCCCAGCAAGACCCCGCGCAGGCCCGTCTCCGAGCCTCCGGGCAGAGGCAGAGGCAGCAGGAAGGTGGGATCTGTCCCCAAAGGGCGCGGGAAGGGGGCGCACC